TTATGTACACAAGAAAACATTACGATTCCTTCACAAAAAAAAGTAGTGTTCATAATCTTAACACAAGAAATAAAAATAAACTTGCCGTTCCAAGCCTCAGACTTCAAAAAACCAGAGGATCATTTCTGGGTAAATGTATTGGTATGTTCAATAAAGTTCCACAAAATGTAATTGACCTACCCATAAATAAATTTCAAATTCATGTAAAGAATATATTTATGAGTAAAGGCTATTATAAAGTTGATGATTATTTTAAGGATCGCAATGCATGGAATTAATAGCCTCCGCTTTGTTCTATAAAGACTAATTATATGTTCAACCTATGTCCTACAGACTTTGAAAGTTGTATTTATTATTGTGATAATACATATTATTTTGGTAATGACATGATTTATGTAAATGTCATTACTTATGATAAAAAGCTGGTAAGTTTCTTTCGCTTGTTCTTCTTGTCAGCTAAAAGACGTCCTGAACAAGTGGTAGGGGAAAAAATTTTTTTGGACAATTCAAAAGTGCTTGTAATAGCCTACTTGAATAAAGATATTTTCATTTCATTTCTGTTTTTAATATCTCAAACGGAAATACGTATGTTTATGCCAATGAGAAAGCCTTTGACTCTGTCGAGACCTCGGCCGTGCTCAGGTCACTCCAGAGGTACCAAATAGACTATCACACATATATAGACACACATATAGACACAGTTAAACATAAACTAAATTGATTACGCGAATTTTGCTTACCGACGTATATTTCCGATAAATTAATATTGAATTATTGAAATTTAATTTATTCAACGGTTTTTTTTGTGATTGTCGTTTCTGTACATCGTAATAAGATGCCCAGAGTGTGTGTAAACCATCCTGATAACTTTTGTTACATTTGCGGTCAACTTACTATTAAAAGTCAACGTCGTAATTTGACACCATTAGTTAAAAACTGTTATTTTAATTATTTTGACTTTCCGGTGCGAAATTTGGACAAAACCTGGACTCCTAGTGTTTGTTGTGCACAATGTGTTAGTTTATTAACATCATGGGCTAAAGGATCTCGTCATATGCCATTTGCAGTTCCAATGATATGGTCTGAACAGAAAGACCATGTATCAGATTGTTATTTCTGCCAAACTTCTATCAAAGGTATTAATCACAAATCTAGACACACCGTGAACTATCCGAATTTACAATCTGCGCAAAGATACACTTCTTACGAGTGTAACTCAATGAGAGTCATTTGGATTTTTTCCACAAAATTTGGGAGCCGTTAGTGATGACCACGGCAAGCGATTCCATCAGGATATATCCAACATGTAAAAACGGTTAAACGGCGCCTAAGCAATTTCTTCTCTAAAACGGCGCCTAAACAATTTCTTCTCTAAAAAACAGTTGGGTTGAAAATGTTGAAATTTCATGTTGAAATTTAGGCGAAGACCAGTCTTGAAACCAGTCGTGAAACAAAACTTAAAACCTATAAGAGTCACTATCTCGTTCACAAGTCCACTCACAAAACATTACCAAAACAAAGTGGAAAAGTATTGGAACTTTTATGTTACGTATAACCAATGATTGTTGCCATAGTTAATAACCTATGTAGACAGTATTATCTAATTTTTGTAGACAGTTTCTTAACATAAATAAACTTTTTATAAATAATAATTATCCTCTATTTGCCATTGCAGGGGTTAAATTATATTTCCCCTTTTGCTCGGTTATTGTTGTCTCCCTTCTGTTAAATATCTATCCGTATATATATCATATACCTATACTCTATCCGTACTAAGAAAGTCGGTCCCCCCTGATTAAAACCTACTTAAAACCAATAATCACCCGATCTGGCTTAAAAGCCGATAACAACATTAAGGTTCTATCGGCTTAGATAAATCAAAATCAAAATCATTTATTCAGTCTAGGCTGTTACAAGCACTTGTGAAAGTCGAGAGCTACGCCAACGGTTCGTAAATCTACAGCGGGAGACCTTGTACCGAGAAGAACCGGCAAGAAACTCGGCAAGGGCTGCTTTTTTCTCCCTGTTTTATTTCATACAGAGCGTCAAGATTGAAAAATGACTTCATTAAAATTTGGAGTCACTTTCCATTACAATATAACACAATATTAAGAGTAAAACAGTATTTTCGTCAATCCAATCACATTTGTAGCCAAAGAAGCTCACCGATTAACAATTTAATATATATGAAAAATGAGCCATATTTAACTCCAAGTAGTTTTGTCGTTTAAATATTCATTAATAGTATAATATCCTTTACTGAGTAGACAATTCTTAACATGGGTTTTAAACTTAGGTATTGGTAAATTTAAAATTTCCATAGGAATTTTGTTATAGTAGTGTACACCTTGACCCATAAATGACGATAGAACCTTCTTTAGCCTGCATGACGGCAAAACAAGTTTATCTTTGTTTCTAGTATTAAAATTGTGTACATGACTATGTTTAATATAATTGTTTATATTGTTTCTAACATAAAGTATACAATTATATATAAATTGGGAGGCCACTGTTAATATCCCAATTTCTTTGAATTTATCTCTAAGTGACGTTCTTGAACCCAATTGATAAATGGCCCTTACTGCTCTTTTTTGTAAAATAAATATAGACTCTATATCTGCAGCCATACCCCACATCAGAATGCCATATGACATAACGCTATGGAAATAACTAAAGTATACTGTCCTAGCGGTATCTACAATGCATCTGTAAGTTGCCTAATTTTTTTTATTGCAAAGGCAGCTGAACTTAGTTTTCCTGCCAATAATGAAATGTGAGGATGCCATTGCAATTTAGAATCCAGCGTTACACCTAAGAAGATTGTTGAATCAACCAACTCGAGCTTTTCATTATTAAGTTTAATTTCTGTAAGTTCAGCTTTTACATTAGGTAACATAAACTTTATACATTTCGTTTTTTTAGCATTTAACTGGAGATTATTTACAGTAAACCAGGTCATAATCTGTGATAGAGCATTGTTTACATCGTCAAAATTATTTTTACATCTATGTCCGAACATGTTGGCTGATTACTGTTGGACACTCAAAAGAGATGTACCTGACGCTAAATATTCCCGAAAATCAATTAAATTCAATTTTCAACCATATTTACTTAAAAAAAGTGTATTGCAGTTGCAAGAAAACTGAGGGTGACTGAAACTTTAAATTATTTTAAATTTCATTAAGGTCATTTTTGTCAATCAGTGTTATTGTTTATTTACTGTTAATGTTTATCATTTTGTAATAATATATCTCTTGAATGATCATTTCTATATTTGTTACCTAACTTTTCAGATGCCGGCAAAGAGAAAACTGTCTTAAAGACAGCTAGAAATCTTCCTAGAATTTGCGGAATCTCATCAGGAAATTGCATTGGGCCGTTTCTATGATGGCTCGCTATCGAACCAAGCTGAAAAGCAAGCTTGGGAAGCAATAGCGGTCCAACTCAATGCAGTGGCTGATAAGGGAGGCGCAGGACCGATCACATTGGAGATCATTGGGGGAGGCCTATGCCCAGCAGTGGACGTCTCTCGGCTGATACGATGATGATGATGATAATTGTTTAGAACTCATGTACCTGATGTTGGATATGTTAATGTTGGATTAATTAAATATCAGCTCTACTACATAAGTTATTGCAAACTGTAATTAACATAAATCAAGTAGGTTAGGAACAAAAACTTTTCACATATGATGAAATTCATCTTTCGGGGTAGAAAAAAAAATTCAATCTTACTTAATTTTATATAAATGTGGTTTATCAGTTAATAAACTAACTTATGTTGAGTTAACGTCTTTGATGTCAACACAATGTCAAGTTCATAAGCACCTTGTTTATATCATTGATGGGAGTCAACAAAAAAGTTTTGGGAATTAATTTTTATATATATACTTTTATTTTTATAGTTATACTTTTATTATAACAAAAGTAGCCTATTCTTTTTTTAAATTAAATTTATTAAAATGTATTTTCTTATATTGAGACTTCATAATGGATGTTATGGACACTGTCTTTCACGTTAACGATACTATAGTTGTAATGAATAAAAGAAAATAATAAATAATATTTTTTACTACATGTTATATGGTATTTTATTTTTAAACAGACCCTATTTCTAGATTAATTTATTAGGAAGTGTAAAGTTAAAAAGTTTAGTTACCAGAAAGTTAACAGTTATAGTTTGTGCCAAATTTCTAGCTCGCTCTGAAGTTGTTTCGAGACAGGGTAATGTACGCCATAAACATGGAGTTCTAGTGCATTAAAAATCTATTACCGCTAGTACCGCTGCTGCTCCAAATAACTTCAAAGATTTCCCGCCTATATGATAATAATTTGAATATCCCACCATAGCTTATTTGGTTACGTAGTTCGCGCGGTAATTTTATAGATGGCGTTAGACATTGAAGAAATTTTCCTTTTTGCCCAGCCCCAAAATTTGGCTGTATGACTTAGTTCCTTCGCCTCTCCCATGGATGAAACGAAACTACTCCTGCCTATGCAGCCGGTATTCTTCTCGTAGAGTATATTCTTCTGTGGTTTTAATATAACCGTTTACATGTGGTTTACACATAGAGATAAGTTTACATCACTAATCGCTGCGTTGCAGAAATCCAAAAAATCGATATATCGATATTTATTAAAATATTAATATAAGCATCGATATATCAAAGGAAAAATATCGATACATCGATAAAATCGCAATAAATACGAAAGTATTTTACCAGTATTCCTTTTTATTAGACAAAGTTACAAAAATATGTCATAGATAATATAGTTTTTTTTCGTTCGATCCTATCTTCGAGAGTTTCGGGTTTTAGCGACTTTAGTGCCATTAGAATTAAAAAAATATCGTTTTCAATACAATTTTCGATACTGGATATTTTGTATCGATATTTCGAAACATTGGATCAATATGTCGGTTAAAAAATCGATATATTTAATTCAAAATATCGATATATCGATACTTTTTCTGCAAGCCTACTCTACGTTTTACAAAATTTGCTGAAAGAGGTGATAGCAGGTGATAGACATAAAGTATTTACTTTTGAGTTTAATTTGTTCGGAGTTATTTCATATACAATCTTTTAACACCTATGTATCATTTCGAAAAAGTAATTATGAGCCAAATAGTCACATAGGTTTCCAAATATCTATATAAACTTTGTGTTTATGACTATGACAATCAATATATGTCAATCAGCTGAGTTTGTTTTCTTTTCAGTTTTTCTGAGCTGTTCATATTAATAAACATTATCTTGCAGTTTGAAAATTGAAATAGTAAATATGAATGAATTGAATTGTTTGGAACATCCTACACTAAAAGTAAGTTTCCAAGAGATAGTTTTAAAGTATGTTTCCTTTCTTAACATCTAGCTAATTGATTTTACATGTGCATAATTAACGCTCTAAACTTGCGATATTCTATACTTTGATATGTTCAACACCATTTGTCATGAATGTTTGTTATGTTAATTGACATTACATTATTTTAGACGTAAATGGTCAAAGTAGTTAAGGTATATTTTTCATATTAAAAGGCTGCAGTATATGCAGTCATAATTTATTAAAATTGTTTATTATGAACTCATTAATGAAAAAGAGTTAATTACCATGCAGTTATTTTAGCAGTAGATCATAGTGTTGTATGCTGTTTTTTTACCTTCTATATATGGTGAACTTGATTATCTATATTTCTTCAGGTTCCTTATGAAGTTTTCAATAAACGTTACCGCAGTGCTCAACGTGTGTTGGATGTGGAAGCAAGGCAAGTGGCAAGTGTCACTGGGGAAATTGACACTACCACAAAAAATCAAACTGTTACCACAGGAGAGATTGACTCGCTGCTTGGAGGAATGGTAAGTGTATTAGTATTATAATTATATGCCAAAAATAATTAACTTATACATAATTCTAACTTATTAGCAAGGTTCGTAATTATCAAGATAATTATTTTTGGATAATTATCCATTGTTATCTGCAACATTTTTTTAAATACAGAAAGGCATTCATAATTGTATAAACTGTTATGTATTTTAAATTATACAAACAACCGAAAATGAAAAAAAGTCAAATGAAAATATGAATAAAAATATTATTTATTAAAAAAATTATATATATATATATTATTTTTTTGTTTTAGAGCTCCATCGTAGACAATCTTTTGATAGTTGTTTAAGGATAATTTTAATAACAAGTCTTAAATTAGAAAAACAGTTTATGTTGTGTCTTATAAGTATAGGTATATTTATCAAGATAATTATCGCAATAATTACAATGATAATTATCACATCTAACCCTGCCTATTAGGCTCAGGTTCAATAGACTTCAAGCTTATTAATGTTTTTATATAATAGTGGCAAATGTTTCATGCTTGGAAATCAATTTTTTTGTTTTATAGAAAATTGCTCAAAAATTTAACTACTTGCCATGCTACAAATTTCTTATGCAATCCCAAGAATAATAATTCTTTTTTTTTCTATAATTTAATAGTAAAGTATGAAAAACTTCAAAAAATGCTATTTCAGGAGTACAACAAGCCTTCTGGGTAATACTATTCAATTTATTTGGCGATCCAAAAATACTTTTAAGAAGCCTATTTGAATAAAGATTATTTTCACTTTGACCTGCCAGTTCCGACGGCAACACCTCGCTAAATCAATAATATGGAGGATAATAACGCACTTGGATTTGACATGATTGACAAAAAGTTATTCATAGAATTTTCACAAAAAGGTGGTGTACCCAATATATTGTTCAATACTGTCACGAGAGTCAGATACTTACCATCATTATGAAAGTATCATAGATCATTATAATAGCAAAATCTAGTAAACCACTACATGACGTTAACGCCTTACCGATGCATCAGTCTACTGATATTAATATCGAAACTTAAAAAATAACACTACAGAAACGAAAGCTCAACAAGCTCACACACAGGGGAATTATTCCAGATCACCAATTTGGTTTTAGAATGGAACACTCCTCTAAGTGACAAGGCTATAAAGTGTGCAAATTGATTGCAGGCACGTTTGAACAGAAGAAAAATTACTCTGGTACGAGCACTGAAATCAACTTTTCATGAAATTTAAGCTGGAACGCCGCAAAATTCGGTCCTTGGCTCGATCCTGTACATCAACTTTACGTCTGATTTACCAGAGACAGTGAGAATAATCGTGGCTACTTTCGCTAATTATACTGCTATTTTCGCATTTAGTCCAAGTGAAGTGTAAGCTTTAATACTGTGTACAAAGAAGTCTTAATAACATTGATTTGTGGCTAAAACTGGGAGATAAAAACAAGCCCATCAAATTCGATACATATTAGATTCGGAAGGACGACTGCCAAAGAGTAGGGCTGGGTTCAAACATCTTGCCTTCCTGTGACTCAGTTAAATATCTGGGTATGCACCTGGATCGTCATCTTACATGGTCCAAACATATTTAATCAAAGAGAGACATTCTAAATCTCAAATTTCAAGGGATGTACTGGTTGCCCAGAAGGAACTCAAAGTTATCATTGAACAATAAGTTAGTCTTAAATAACCTTATCCTTAAAACAATTTTGGATCTATGGACTTCAAATATGAGTATCAGCAAGTGACAGCAGCTGTTGTTTATCACACCTTTATTACCCACTGACAAGTAGTTCTTAAAAATTTGAATTCTTAAAAATGTCTTGTGCAATTGTTTCTTTGATTTATAAATACATGTCTTTGTAATGGTGCACGTAAGTGTTTAACGAGGCACAGTTTCCGCAGATAATAATTAAGAAGACTTTTGGGAATGCGAATATATCACACTAACATTAACAAAATTCAAAACGCGCAAAATGAGATCTTTAAAAAGATTTTCAACAAATCAACGCAGCTCGCTGGTAACCCAAGAGACAACATGGAAGAAATTGCCAAGATGATTCTAAAGAAATATAAAAATAGGCTAGATCATCATCCAAATATACTGACTATACAACTGACTAAGCCGGGAAGTGTCAAACACCTGCAGATACGCAAAACACCGGACATGGAAAACACAGCGTAGACTGTCATCCTCTGGACGTCAATTTCATGAAAAAAGTAGATTGATCGCATGATATTAAACTAAGAAAAAAGTGCCAGTTTTACCGGGTCTTATCAAATTGTTGCATTGTTGTTGAAGAAAATTAAAAGCAATCACAAGCCTTGAATGGACCGCCATTCAAAATAAATGTTAAGTTGGCATCTAATATCACAGTAATAGATTTCTACTACATACATATATAGTGCCTAAAGAAAACTGTTGCACTCCGAATTATAAAACAAGCCAAATATATAGTTTGAATCCTATATTTTTAAATAAAAACCACCAACACAATATAAAAACATTCATAATCAATTCAAGAGCTCTAAAATCATAGTAATAATAAAAATTTTACAAAGATTTGTATATATTATATTTTTTAACTTTTGTATTCACAATGCTGTAGTAGAAGATATTTATAATGAAATATGCTTAAAAAATCCATTTTGTAACTGTTACTCTGAGATGGGATTAAGAGAAAAAAGAAAGAAAGGGAAAGATTTATATTTTCCCTGACTTCACAGTTGACCTAAATTTTTTCCTGACTATCCCTGACCATCTTTACCTTCCCTGACTTTCCCTGATTTGCCAGAAAGTGGACACCCTGTTTATGTATGATACAGGACCACGCGGGAGAAGCCGCTGGCGGAAAGCTAGTTTTTTTTATATAACATAAATCAATAACTAAAGATTTACAATACAATAATGGCCATCGAGCCCATAGCAGTTGATTCAACCTTGGCTGAGATTATGAAGTTTGTCAAGTTATATTTCTATAATATAGACAGACAGAATGTTCTCTGGATTTTTGAAAACTTATTTTAATTTCACAGGTTGAAAAGTTGACAACAATGAAACGCAAAGCATCTGAAGCTATTAATGAAGAGTTGCAGGCTGCATATGTGTGCAAGAAACGCCTAGAACACTTGAAAGAGCAAGCTAGTGCCCTTAACGAGCCGAGTACACCTCAAGTCAGAGTAAGATCAATTCATTAATTGATTAATATATTCATTATACAGGTTACGATCCAATGCAATCAATAAGCAGATGTTAATTTTAACTACCCGAAAATTATTATTAAAACACCTAATTGCCATAATTTGACTTGATACATCTCACTCAAGTCCCTTGAATAGTTATGGCCACTAGGGGCGCTGTCAGCGCGTACACAGCTTATAGGTGTTTTTTGGCGAATTATTAAAATGTGCTGTCTCAATCAGCTCAATCTCTTATGATCCATCGCCTTTTTTCAATTTTACTTTATTGATTGTGGGCCATCCATAAATTACGTCACACGTTAAGGGGGTAGGGAGCGGGTCGACAAAGTGTGACATTGTGTGACAAGGGGGTGGGATTGTCCTAAATTTCGTGACGTCACATTTCAAAATATATTAGAATGTAAGTGTTAAAACACGAATTTTAAACTATTATTTCACAAAAACCTTGCAAAATATGTGCCATCACACTAGGAGGGGGGAGTCTTACAAATGTGACCAGCTGTGACTAGGACGGGGGAGGGGCAAAAAAATCATGAAAATCGTGTGACGTAATTTGTGGATGACCCCTTGTAACTTATTTTAATTTCGCAAAATTAACTTGCGATTCGAATCTGTGGATTACAAGAGCCGAAACGCCGTCAGCCATAACGGAGCATCGTGTGACGTCACATTTCAATAAACTAAACGTTAACGTACTCAAGTATATTGAAATCTAACGACACGGCTCGAAATGTCACGTCATCGTTTACGCAGGTTTTTTTTATTTGATAACACCTGTTGGAGAAAAATAAATTTGATAGTGGTTTAATATGATCATTATGAAAGTCAGTCAAGAAGCCAATTAATGCGGGCGAAGTCGCGTTAAAATAGCTGGCTGGTCATTTAATAATTGACAATGATAGGCTCAATTAAATTTGCTTGACAAAAAAAGCTAATGAGCGAGCATATGCCAGCTTTTTAAGCGCTCGGTCTTGCTTTCAACGAACAAAAACGGAAAAAATCGGCATTAGATATTGTTGATGCGGATGCTGACATTAAAAACAATGCTGCTGATGCTGATGTTATGTTATGTTATGCTGATGTTAGTTTATTCTATATCCTTTAAATCATAACTGTGTTAAGGATAGAAACGTGTGATAATTAAATTTTTTATATAATATATAACAAGATTGACATAAGGCCCCTTTATTTCAGACTGCGATGAATCAGTGGCGTAAAGTTCGCCTCGACCGTATGTTGGTTGATTACTTCCTCAGGAACGGTTATTATAAAACTGCTAATAAGTTGGCCGACGCGCGTTCATTAAGAGACCTTACTAATGCCGGTAAGTATTGTAATTATTACATCAAAGTTTATGCATCGGCTTGGGCCCAGCGGCATGTTCCGAGAGGTTACCGGAACCCTTCCTTCTTTGGCGATACCAGTTTTTCTTCTCAGCTTTTACGATAGGTTCTCGTTTTACACCCACACCCATACCGTACACAAAATGTCAGCGCCGAGAAATAAAAGAGCGGATACACAGCCCCAGCTTTGAGTTACAAATAGAGTTTGCCAACATCCTCGGGCCCAGTTTGTATCATTAAAGTTATAAAATCGCGTTCATATACATATTAATCGTTATATTAATTAACTGTTTTCCCGGGCCTTTTACCTCTTTTATCTCAAATAATTTTTTCTCACGTCTTTAGATACTAGGAAGTTTTAACACGGAGCCTATTAAATGCAAAAAACAATCAAACCTTTCCTCTTTATAACATATTAGTGTAAACATCGATCACTCTATTACAGATACTATAATACAGGCACATAAACATTGCTCCAAGCGACTCTCGGACTCGTGACCATGAGTTGAAGTCATGGCCCACAATTACTCTCAAACAACAGATACGTTAGTATACTGTGCGATGATGACAACTTGACTTTTCGTATTAGTGTTCTCATATTCATTGATTTGTTCATAAACATGGGTACATACATGGTTACGTTGGTCTAAAAAGAAAATAAGCACAGCCATGATTCACCTTAGTTGGTATGAGCATTGAAAAAGAAAATAATTATAATAAAACAAATAGATACGTCAGATTAAATAATAATGTCAAATATTAATAAAAAATAAAAATTACAATAATGTCAATTAAAAACTAAGTAATTATTTTAGTTTTGTTAATTTTTATTAAACTTATCATATTAAAATATTCGAATATCATGATAAGCTTTATCAGTAAGAAACCATTGAGTGTATTTTTAAATAGTATATTGTCGTTAATCGATTTAAAAGACAGTGGAATCTTATTATTTATTGTTAGTGCCATACAGTTTAAGCAAATTCTACTGAGATGTTTTGTACATCCATGAGTTCATATGTTTGTATATATATGTCCACTATCATCTGGAGACTGCTGGGCCTACTATACTGTACTGTATTATCTGTCCCACGTTTTAGATATATACGCAGCGGCGGCGGAGGTTGAGTCGGAGTTGTGCCAACAGCGCACCGCACGCTGCCTGCAGTGGTGCGCGGACAACAAATCCAAGCTGAGGAAACTCAACTCCAACATGGAGTTCAAGATACGGATACAGGTAAGACATAACAATTTTAGTACTCCGCTTAACTTTCATCAATTTTTAAATGTCCTACATGTATTATTTGCATTATATGTACGAATTAATGTGACACCTGAAGGCCTAGCCTATTTGTCCTCGAACGTAAATTCGGAATATTATGAATTGTTCTTATAATTTTGTTAAAATCTTAGCCCTGAAGTATTTTTGTGTATCAGAGGCAGTGTCAGTTCCAGTTCAGATCTAGATCCGGTCTGAAACGTCAGGAATGGATTTAGGATGTGACTTTTCGCACGTTGAATGACTTTGGCTAATCAAAACATTTACCACATTCAAGAATATTGATTTATTTTTATTTTCAAAATAAAATATTGACAGATTTGTAATCATAGGAATTCATCGAATTAGTTCGCGATGACAAACGTCTGGAAGCAGTACGATACGCCAAGAAACACTTCTCCACATACGAAGAAGGTCAACTCGAAGACATACAGCACTGCATGGGAATGCTCGCGTTCCCGAAGGACACAGGTGCAGTTTGACGTTAAAATTTCAGTTTTTGTATCATCACCGTAAAACAAACATCACAACATTGATTTTGTAGGATAGTATGAATTACAGCCGGTTCCGGATCTATGTTTTTCCGAATAGGGAAAAAAGCTTATAGTTGTGCCGCTCTTACTAGCATTTGTGTTTAGACTAATTCACACAATAAGAATGGATGGAATTTTTTCTTATAATGAATAATTAATTATTCTGAAAAAAATATACTTTTCAGAATAATTTCTTGTTCATTTTATGATTGGCGCTCTCCTGTTACCGCCTGGGATCAGTTTGTCCCTACTTATATCCGGGGTTGTTAACAAGTTAATTTGCCAGCTAAGCTAGCTGTTTTCCTAAGAAGTCGCCCCCATATGATGTAGCTTTGTACTGTTTAAAGAATTTTTAAAATAGGTTTTTTATTCAATGCACACAAACAGACAATCGAATTTTTCCATAGACAATAAATGTACACTATTAGAATGATTAAAACGTCAGAAGAGACAGTGTTTTTCAATCTGCGGATCATGTTGCTATGTTAAAAATGTTATTGAAGGAAGAATAGGTAACAATCTAATATAAAAGGGGGTTAAAAAATTTCAGCCTAGTAAAGGACTTCCCTTCCAGTTCATAACAGACGGTTAAGATGCTATAATATTTCATCTTAAAACATATTTTAACATCATAACCTATAACACACGCCTAAGTTTACGATAATATAAATGTTATAATATTTCGTATCTAAAGATACGTAATATATATATCGGTATCGCTTGGCATCTTAAGATACTTAATATCAAAATATGATATTATCTTAGCTTTGTGTGTTGAGCCATTGGAATGTATGGGGAGCGATATTTTATATATTAAGATATCTTATTTAACGGCTTAAACTTCTGTTACGACCTTCAATGAGTTGTAATTAACGTATTCTTCATGTTTGTCGGTTAGAGGTGGAGCCGTACCGTTCGTTGTTGGGTGGGGATAGGTGGGCGGGGCTCGTGGAACAGTTCCGTTGGGAACACGCGCGTCTGCTGCACCCCGCGCGTCTGCCCGCGCTGCCCATTGCTCTACAACTGGGCTTAGCGGCACTCAACACGCCATATCCTTTGCATTATATTATCAATTTACAAATAAGGCCGTCAGCGCAAAAGTGGCTTAACCTATTTATTTTATTAAAAACTTAATAAATAGGGTTTAAGACAACTTTATTTTTTATATTTTATAAATATATCTTAAAAAATATCATTTCGTATGATAATATTTTCAAAAATTCCCACGAAAGCGCCACTTCTGTAATGGCGTCGCTAAAACGTCACGACCCTTTAAAACTAATGTCGTTCTATGTATGCATAAGGTTAAATTCTCGAAGTTATAATAAGCATTAATAATATATAATAGTATATTCAGAAAAATAATGTATTTATTTTCGTTTAACTGTCTACACCCGTATTACGATATAAAACTGGCCTAGCTCTATTTTGACATAGGAATGAGCGATTTTTGAATAATTATTTATTAAGTTTTAAATAAATAGGTAAAAGTACGAATATGAAAATTTTGGGTTAGGCCCCTTTGCGCTGACAGTCACTAATATTAGCTATTAATACTATCACAAGACATTGATAATTCGATGTACTTTAAAATACCACAAAAGTCATATTAATTTTATTTATAAATGGAATAAATAATTCGTAAATGGAATAAGTAAGTGTTTTAGCAATCTATCGAACTGCCCCCTTTTCTAATAAATTCTTTATGAAGCCAAGCTTTTAAAGGGAGGCTAGATCGTATATGTGCACGGGTCATGTAAAGTCCTTAACGATCGTCTACAATCAGTGTTACAAGGAGAGCACGAAGGTATCAGCGTGTCCGGTGTGCCAGCCGCCGCTGAACACTCTATCTCGCTCGCTCCCGCACGCGCACTGCTCGCACTCGCGACTCGTGTGTCGTATCACTAACGAACCGCTCAACGAACATAACCAACCAATGGTGTTGCCCAACGGACAGGTCTACGGGGAGAAGGTAATGAGATTATGGTAACACTTATACATAAAACACACACACGCAAAATAAGATATCATCGTCCCTTTTACTGCAGGGGCTCAGGCACACACACAAAATAAGACATCATCGACCCTTTTATGTCCTCACTGCAGGGTTTCAAGCCTTCCTTCTGGATGGTAAAGAAGGATGGGCCATGACCCTTCTCGCTGATCCAACGCGGAACTGGATGTTTTAAGATTGCAAATGCAGCCGGGAGCAACAGATTAACGTGCCTTCCGAGGCACGAAGTAGCTCTAGATAATATTTTTTTTCGGTCAAGATTCGGTCACTCATCCCGTGATCGAACCTTGCGGAAGTTGGTTAATAACAAGGATCGCGGGCCATGGTGCTTATCCACTATGCCGCCGAGCTAAATAAGACTAAGACATCAACTCTACTCTAAATAAGACATAATTATGGAACCTAATAAAAAATAAATACGGTTTATATTTTATTTAGTACTCTTACTTAGACCTTCGCTTTTAGTATAGGACTTCAAGATAAATGATGGGCATCAGAAAACTTTGGAAACAATATTCTAATCTATACAAAGAAAATCAACAAAAAATATTTGGCCCTAAAAATTTTTTTACAATTACAATTTTATTGCAAATGAATAAATGTCAACATAATTTAAAAAAAGTAAATTAGTTAAAGCGGGAGAAGGGGAGTGGTGTTCAAACCCCTAAATTACGTTTATTATATTTTTATAATAAATGTAATTACTTATTTACAAGTTTTTTTTGTTCTACAATCAAGAGCTCGTATGAATTTACAAGTTGGACTGTACTGTTGTTATTACAATTTCCGTAGAAGGCTCGTACTACAAGCAAAAAGCTTCATACGCTCCAGACTTTAGCTACAATTCATACTTAGCTTATTTTCCATAATCAATTTACCCCCCTGGGCCATAGCCCCTTAGCAGGATGGATGTAAAACTTAAAAGTATTTGTATTTTGTTCAGATATATAAATTGTGTAAGACCAGCTTACTGCCTTGTTGAGTTGGTCATGTTCGGAAACACGAAGTTAGCCAACGCCCATTATTTATCTCGAAGTACTTCATACTGTAAGCGTTTTTACAACGATGTTAGGTTCTCTAATAACAAGACTCGATTACCCATATAAAATTAAGCTACTTTCATTAGGGTTAGTCACAGGATGGGTGACCGACATTTTATTATTTCGAGCTATTCTGTACTTCTGAAGGCACGTGAAGCCGCTAATCCTAGCTCTATCTATAGTCATCATTAATCGATCCGTTCTGAGCCTGCGTGGTGGCAATACGGGCCATCCGTAGGATTATATTGAATTCCACCCACAGAAATACTTTTTTTTTTTACAAAAACAAGTTTTGATTATGAAATTACTTTTTTTTACAGGCCATCAAGGAGATGGTGAAGCTCGGCTCGATCGTCTGCCCGAAGACAAAGGAGGTGTTTTCCCTAAAGAGTGTTGAGAAAGTCTATGTCATGTGAACCAAACTATGTAAATAATTTTTAAAGTTAATGTGGACAGAATACTCTATTTGATCACACTTTATTACAAATACAACATACTAATTTTTATTTCTATAAAAAGATAGTATCTAAAGGTGTTTTTTAACAAACAGTGAGATGCTACCGATATGTATAGGTGTACCAGAATCTTTTTTTCAGATTTTGATATGGCAATGTTAAATGTCAACTATTGACAACTGTCATGTCCAAGTATATAAATTGTTGAGAATATTTGTGAAAATATTAAATTATTTTGTGAAAATTCCAAAAAATAGTCATTTTTATCTCAAGCTGGATATATTGTTTTTAATGTTTATAGCAAAATTTGTAAAAAGAAGTCGAAAATCAACTATTTTTTGTTTATGAATTGACCGTCTTAAATCAATTGATTTTTTCTAAAGATTGAAATAATAAATATAGTGCGTTGGTGTGTCGACTACTAAAATAAAACGAAGTATTAGTGAAGGAGAAGATATGAATATAGTTTTCTACGCCGGGAAACAATAGAATAGGAATGGTGAGAAAAAGAAAATTAAAACATTTGTTTTAGGTGTGTAAGCGTAAAGGACAGTTGCAATATTAGTAGAGATTAGCAATAAACAATACATAAAGTATATCTTCTTTAATTTGTTCCAGTTAGATTCCGCGTCATTTGGGTTGGATTTTCTCGGCTGGATCAGGTGTTGTCCAATCAAAGCATTAGATGATGGTAATATTTCACCCATATGTATGTATGTCAATATTTTCCGAGATCGACATTCGCTCAGGAGTAGGTATGTTCAATGTTATGAGGCAGTTATTGAAAAGTCTAATAAAATAAAAATAATACAAGCATTTAGACGTCTTATCCTTTTTCCCCAATGTTGCCTTGTACAAATTTAAATTCCCCAATTTGCCATCAGATTTTGGTACACATATACGCATACCTTTATAAGAAATTAAATAATTGGATGTTATCGATTGAGATTTCGAGAGTAGTCGAGTAAAAGCTGTTTATTATCTAATGCTTACCAATACTGTATTGGTAAGCTTATAGATATATCCGAAAGAAATCAATTTTATTTATATTAAATTAACGGACGCTATTAATATAAAGTGGTTAAAAACACTGCAATATAACTCACTTTCGCATAATTTATAAACCCCATTTCAATAAATTCTTTCTTGAAATACAAGTATAGTATTTATATCGTACCCACTTAAATAAAGGAGAGCAATCATTTGTACAATTCCAACTTACACGAGTAAGAACAAGACATGATATAATATGTGTGAAAGGATAGAGTATTTCGTCTTGTGAGATCTGCCATTTAATAAAGAGAATAGTTTTTTGTATTTACCTACCACTACTGTGTACCATTTGTCATTTTATTGACTTATTGTAAATGATATTTAATGCAAAGAGCGTCTTGAATTAAGAAATAATTATATACTTTTATATGTCTTGTCGGAGTTTCCTCATCATTTTTGAAGTTAATATCAGGAGTTGGTATTATGTTTGTGATTTCTATTTTATCTTAAGATGGCACTTAAAAATCAATTGTCCCAGACATCAGCGGCCCTAATTCTGCTAACGTTATCGTAATTATTGATATAGTGTCGATGGCGTTCCAATTACATCTCAGATACAGTTCATGTTACTAACCACAAAATGACAATAATCACATTGTACTTAATACATCAACTAAGATAGACGATGAAGTGCCAATATGCAATAATTGAGACCACATTCAGACGCCATTGAGATACCATTATAACTTGTTGTAACGTTAACAAACTACAGTAACAACCTGAGAAATTCCATCGAATTTCAGAAGATTCATAGTCTTCTTAAAACCACCGGATTAATATGGTCCGAATAACCGGTTTGTCTCTCGTTTGGTGCATGAGACAATTGAATTTTCAAGTATTTTTAAGGAGTTTCTACCTATTTCTATTGTATTCAAAATTTATAAATTGTAGACGTAACTTTCCTTTTTATTTTTTTATAATAGGATAACGTTTTAAATATTATTCTTAGTACTTTGAACAGCTTTGTTAATTTTAATTGTATTTCACACCTGTTTAATGGTTTATTGATACCCTTTTCTATTTATCTATATCTACAAACCATAAATTTAACGCTATACTAATATCTGAATAGTGTATCAAAATTAAGATCCTTACCCAAGTAGTGTTTAATTTCAAATACCAATGTGCGTCGAACATTTCGGCTTTCAATTATTAAGCTCATATGTATTGTGTGTTATACAAATAAACAATAATTATTCAAAACAAAGTTAAATCTTATTGTATTATACCCTGTGTGCATAAAAATACAGTCAAATCAATGTATTTTTATTTAATCATAGATAAATAAGTATGCAAAGTACTTTAATTTTTAATAAACACTGCGGTTAAAAGATAATTTTAACCTTTACTAAATAAATTATTTGAGCATGAGGCAACTCCTCATTATCCTGCCCTCAAAATATATTGTGGTCATTAAAGTGCTAACTGCAATGATCTATTTATATGCATATAGTGGAGATGAAAACAAAATATATGAAACCATCTCAACTTTTATGTGGGCAAGTCATATAAAAATATGACTTCAGTATTTTACTCTCGAGATAATTACTTCTATATCACACTAACGTGGTACGACCTAGGTTAACGTAAAATAGTAGTTTATGCAACTGTCATATAAGAAAGGGTATTAAAACACGAAAGTCTGTTTATCGCATGACGCGAACCTGATAATAAGTTGACTCGAGTGTTTTAATACCTAAGTTATATGCAGTTTCATACACTACTTTATCTTCACTCATAGGAAAAATTGAAATTAAACAAAGGTTACAAGGAACTAATTTATGCGTGCACCATTTTCTTCACAGTTCGAAGTTCGAACTATGCGGGCTTAATGCGGAGCGGTGGGTGTTAACTTTGCTGATGCAGCCAGGACTAACGGCTTAACGTGCATTGTGCCAGTGTTGTGCACAAAGCTCAAGATAGTAATGTTTTAGTCCTTACGAATGTAATTTTTCTATCTTTTTTCTCGTTTTTCGCGCTCTGGTTATCGCTTGTATCTGAGCAATCTGTCCTTATTTTGTTTTTGATCTTTTTAAATTATCATTATTTGTCAAGTTGTATGCACAATCGGCTATTTATTGTTCTTTTTTTCCATGTTATGCTAGGTTGCCTGGAAGAAATCGCTTGCTAGCGATGAGTTTGTCGTTTAGACTTAGTTATATAAAATAAGTATTCATGTATCTATCTATGTAGCGAATCTATCTACGGGAAGTTACATCACGGATGTCTTAGGTTATAATTTTGCGGCAAAGTCGAGGGAAAACAGCTAGTTCATTATACCTTGTGAAAACTTATTTATACGATAATCGAAACTACTTTCTTGATCTCTGTTGTGCCACCTGCGAACACTTTCAGAGACCAAGCGCATTTCTCTATCAAAGGAAGTTTCATACTCATACCATACTGCATGTATGTTACGATCAGCAGTTAGCGATCTTCATAAGTTTCCTGAGATCAAACGCTTGTTACTAGCTAGCTAGTTCTCCGAGAGCTCTCAGATTCAACTTTATAGCGCATGAGCCTGGCGATGGGTAGTTGAATACGCTTCGCGTTTTTCAGGTGTCTCCCGAGACCGAGCGCTTTCCGTCCGATCTCTTTCTTTGTCAATAAAAGTCGGTCGGCACATGTCTGAAGGAAGATACGTGGACTTTTATTTATTGATATAAAAAATATTTTCATATTTTAATTTCGACTTTCCACACTCGAAGGAAATCGTCTAAGTACTAACACATACTTCCGAGAGGTGCTTTACTGAGCTTCCGTCAGATTTGAATCTCATCATCATCATCATCAGCCCTTTTACGTCAACTGCCTGAGCCTTATGAATTAAGGAGGATGGGCCACGACCCTCCATGCTGGCCCAATGCGAACTGGAGGTTATTAACGACTGCAAATACAACCGAGACCAATCACTTTACGTGCCTTCCAAAGCTTGGAGTTGCTTGAGATAATATTTTTTTTGGTCACCCATCCTGTGAACGACCTTTGCGAAAGTTGCTTAAGAACTACAATCGCGAGCCATGGCGTTTATTGCATAGTGAATAAACGCCATGGCTCACGTTACTCTGAACCGATCGTCAGACTCGCGTAATATCATATGTATTGTAACCAATGAATAAACCATTGTTTCCGGCAAAGACTGAAAATACCAACTTTGAAGTAAGTATCTAGAGCAAAGGGTTTAGCCGGATACGTATGACGAGTCGGCCCCCAAATGGGAATCGATATTGAAACTTATGTTTTAATATAGACTTGATGTTCAAACACGATTTATGTACTTTTCGCGACCGACTTCCGCTTTGACCTTGAGATAGAGAGCAAAATATCCCTATGCTTGACTATTACTGAATGTGATATATCTCTGAAGCTAATTAAGATAAAGAAGTGAAACTAACGCGAGGTGTTAGGTTACATTACAGAGTATATCACATATATTTTTTTTATAATTTTTAGAATAAAAAATTACATTAAAAAAATAAAAATAAAAAAAAATCATGTTTTTTTTTCTGAGTTCTCTGTGACTTACAATCACGAAATTAATATATGTTATGCTCCTTTGTGTGCTCTAATACCCATAAAAATTGCGTGAAAAAAAAGTAAAAAACAGTAAAAAAAAGTGGGTGCCACACAACGAAAAAAAATTATATGTGATTCGCGCCTTGTAGTGTGAGTGTATAAACAAACAAGTTCGAACTTGTTATCGAGCTGTTTACTGCATCGTTTGTTTAGCTAAAGTAGCAGTCATTTGTATTACACAAGAAGGCAGTTTGGGACTCAAATTCTGTCATAGGTATTTTGTATCAGCATTTTGAAATTATTAACTATCGAACCAAATTATTATTAAGTAATAATGTCGAGAAAGTGTAATAATTGTAACAAGTACCTGTGTAAGATTCCTGGTTATAAAAAAATTATAAAGAATGAAGAAGAAGCTAAAGTGTTTAGTGACTGTTTGAATAAAATCGTAATAGTTAATGATATTTTTTGTAAGAAGTGTCGACTTATCCCATATATTAACAAAAAAGCTTCTACTTCTAAATGTGCAGCATTTAACTTGGCCGAAATAATGGACGATCAAAATAATCTCTCAGTACAATATGTGAAATCAGCACCTAATATCATCAAAGCAGAAGTAAAATCAAGACATATAAATAGAAAAGTCTATCGAATTTACATTCACTATATTTCCGAAGGTAATGACTACAATAGTATTCTTCGTTATTGCTATGATTGCCCCAATGGCGAACGTACAGTGGGATGCTGTTCTCATGTAGCAGCTATTATTTATTATCTATCATATGGACGATATTTGTCCAAAATCGTACGTCCTGATGAGGTCCTAACTAAGTTATTTGCGACTCAAAGTGTTCCGATTGTAATTAATTACAACAGTGACGATGATTAATATTTTGTTTCTTGTATTTTGATAGACACGAAAAAGTAATAATAATAAGTATTGAACACTGGCTGTTTTTTTTTTTCATTTCTTTTTTAACTATTATCCCATCTCTTAAGACTAGTTACTTATGTTTTAAAACAAGCTGATGTGAAATTTCGAAAAGAAAACAATGATGTAATGTGAAAACCTTATAATACAGGGGTATACCATAAGACAGAAATCACATATAATTTTTTTTCATTGTGTTGCACCACCTTTTTTTTCACGCAATTTTTATGGGTAATAGAGCACACAAAGGAGCATAACATATATTAATTTCGTGATTGTAAGTCACAGAGAACTCAGAAAAAAAACATGATTTTTTTTTTTAATGTAATTTTTTATTCTAAAAATTATAAAAAAATATATGTGATATACTCTGTAATGTAACCTAACACCTCGCGTTAGTTTCACTTCTTTATTTTAATTAGCTTCAGAGATATATCACATTCAGTAATAGTCAAGCATAGGGATATTTTGCTCTCTATCTCAAGGTCAAAGCGGAAGTCGGTCGCGAAAAGTACATAAATCGTGTTTGAACATCAAGTCTATATTAAAACATAAGTTTCAATATCGATTCCCATTTGGGGGCCGACTCGTCATACGTATCCGGCTAAACCCTTTGTATGGTAAAAAAAAACAAAAATAGTATTAACATAAAAAATAGTAATAAGAGAAAAAAATAAATAAATCGAGTTGTCTTTACGTTCTTAACTTCAGTTGACGTGTATCCAACTTTTTAACGTCGTGGAAAAGCTTATGACATTGTCTCTGCTACGTGGCAAGCAACAGGGTGTGAGTAGGATTCTCCTCCGTGAACCCGATATCTGCCCAGTGGGTTTCCCGAGGCCAACCCACCAATACCCGTACGCTACACTGTCTCATGGGAGATGAAACCCCGCAAGCTATGGCCGCGTCACCAGAACATTCAAGTATTGGACCATTGGTCCCCTTGCATATGGGAAATCGGAGGCTCGGGTGAATTGAGTGCCTCTCCCGGATAGACGAAACCGTGCAATGCGGGGGCGGCTGCCAACCACCTCCGCTGGCCCTGACGACGACGTAAACTTAATCTGATAAAAATATGCGTTCACTACTCGATGCTTAATTGCATCATCGGAAGGCTCTTTTCGCGTGCTCTCCTACTCGCGTGATCATATACCACACGTCCATTATAAGCTGAACCCTATTTACTATCATTGGTCATTTATAAATGAGGTCAACTTACTTTGGAGTTGTCAAAATTTTGATCTTATTTTTTATTTTTCATCATACAAATTATAATTTTATAGACAATATTAATTCTTAGCTCGGTGGCGCTACGGATAAGCGCCACTGCGCACGATCGATATTGCTAAGCAATTTTCGCAAGAGTTGTTCACGGGATGGGTGACCAAAAATTATTAAACCCGGCCTGAGGCCCTGCAGCTTGGCTGTCAAAGAGTTAATGATGATGATCAATATATCAAAGACGAAAATTTAATAAAACAGTTATTATTTCATAGCACTTTTGGCGAACACGTCACTTCAAATTGACATAACTTTTTTATTATTATTTTTTTATCGTTAAACAACATATTCTATTTGATCCCATTGTAAAGTGATAGCGTCTTTAGTTTACGGCAGTCGTCATTACTGTCATCTTGCGTAGAAAGATTTTCGAAGCGCGGCAAATATCGCCAAATCGGAATATGAGATGGCATGGAATGCCTTGTATTTTACATCTTATAGTTGTTAAAATAAGGCTATTATACTTTTTATAGCAAGTTCGGTCGTCTTAGATTATAGATTCTATCTGTTCTACGCAAACGAAGATCCAGTATTCACCATGCGTCATACTAGTTCGAACTGTATTTTATCGTCGTGGCTACAATAGTTTCAACGACGATAATTGTCGTGACGTTTTATAGACGCAGATACGGTGTTCCAGCACCTGACCTCTGTCCTGGAATCAAACTTTAGAAAGCTCTTTCATGCACACTTATGTCACGATCTCTAAGCTATTATATCGACTTAAGTCACTGCAAAAATATAATAATACAACAAGCTGTTTTTACGTAAATTCATATTTATTTGTTAATTTTTTACACTTTCTTATTGACAATCTAGAATACTCGTAAATGGCATTATTTATCACATTATTATTACTTATTCTAATTAACAATGAATTGGTTACGCGTTTCTTGTGATATTATGTACATCCTTTCTATGAACCTTTATTATATGACCACGAGAGCAAAAGTAGCGCCACTTTTCTATGAAAATATATTTTTTTTTATTAATATTCTAGTGTCTTGGACACTAGTAGATCTAATATAATCTAATAGCCAATATACACGTGTCCTCAAACTAACACCTGATAAATTAATATTTGTTAAATCAAAATAAACGATTATGAATTAATGCACAGTGAAATGGCAGTAGCTGACAGTTTTACTGTCAAATAATTTAAAACTAGTAACGGCGTTCATGATTGCTTTTACACAGATACTGGAGGAAGAAACCAAATATTGGTGACTATCGATATAGTTCGGTTCGGTTCATAGAATTGATAATATAGCAAAACAGCTTCCGCTTTCACTCTATCCCAGGTGAAATTTATAATATGTCGCATGGTTCTCAAATTAATTATCTTCAGTTCGATGACTCACTTAACAACCTGTGTAACATAATTATAATGACCTTTGTTGATAACTTTTATTTATTTTGGATCAAAATGACTGAAAAATAAATAATAAATTGTTTTATAATTGTGTTTATATAAAGGATTGAGTAATAGTGACTTTTAATCTAGTGGCAATTTTGCGAACTGCTTATCTTGTAATTTATAACTCAAAAAAAAAGATTTCTTATTTTATTTGGTATCGTTTATATAATAGATTTATCCATACGATTAAGATTATATGTACAAGAAGAATGTAACATGGTTCTCGATAACTATCACAATATCGTAGTGGCATTATTTGTACTATAGACTAAAATGTTAAGTAAATACTAGAATATAGCATTGAAGTTTTACCTGACTATATTAAAAAAATATAATTGAGTATATAATCTCAAAGAGTCTTAAGACTCGTATTTACATTCTAATAATCTATATCAAATATGCAGCAATAACAAATGTAATGGATGTAGATAGGAAAACGGAACTCTTAATAGTGAATATAAAAATAAAATATTTTGTAAAAATACTATATATACTCCCCGATCAGCTTTTGATAGAATAAAATCATTCATATTAAAAAATAAAGCTCAGTAATATGACATTTTAATAATCGTCTTGACGTATACTCTTGGAAATATTTAGTATAATTCGCTGCTATTATTATCATATAATCGAATCAATTCCTAAAATATATTTAATTTCAATAAATGAATTAAACATTTAGTTTTCAATACGGTATTGTTAGTAGCAACTAGGTAGTTCTTAGATCGTGCAAGCTTTGATACAATAACTAATAAAATAATACGTCACTAAGTACTCGCAAGGCACGTGACAATACCATTGAGAGTGCATGACATCAATCCAAAGAGTAAAATGTACATCATCTGATCACTACAAAGAGTAAAATTATCATGAAGCTTGTATAATTCTTATGATCAACCATAATTACATACACTGTTAACTATATAGAGGGCGTTGTAAAAATGAACTACTATTTATACTGTTTTATGCTACTCGTACGTGATAGTAGCACTGTTGTTAGTTTTTTAGTGAAATAATGTTGCAGACTAAAGATATATTTCTATTTCTATCGTCACAGAGGTCATGTGATAATGGAGTTTTGAATCACTCACCTGAATTCGTAATATACAATTTTAAATAATTAATTGTATTCAATGTTAAACATAAATTTATTTTCTAAAACTAGTCCATATCCCCATAGACAAATTATATAATGGCTTTTGAAAACGAGTTTTTTTTTAACGTCTATACAATTGGTTCCACATCCACCATTTGTTATTGATCTTTATGGGTTTGATCTTTTATTGATTTTTTTATACAATTAAACAGCGTAAATAATTAAAATAAAGTTATATAAACATAATAACAATTGACATGTATAAATCTAAAGCTTAAAGCTATATAAACACGTTGTAGTCCTCTGACCCTTAAATGTATGTACGTATTAATATTACGTTGTTTCTTGTGAATTTTGTCAATATTCGAGGATCATACATTACAAAAATAAATGTATATTATAATAACATATTTACATGACGGTTAGGATATTTTGACGCGAAATTATTGATAATGCAATTATCTAGCGTTGTTAAGAATTACAACGACACATTCAAATGCGAAAGTTCTAATAGGATATTCAAATAAGCAAGATAACTGCTTAAATGAGATACTCTGCACGCGACCATATTTGCTCAATTTACAGTTATTAGAAATATTTCAGCAAGAATTTTTTGGTGTGTCTATTCTGTGTGTTAAGTGTCGTTCCTAGAACGTACCACAATATGCCAAATATTCTCAGTTAATTTTGACCTCTACCCTCAATACATTAGGGTTCAAGCTGAATGGACAAAAATAGATTTGTATAACGTGATGTTGCTGCCGACTATATCTAATCACTGTTATTTAATTATTACTTCAATATAAGGCTTGCTAATTCTATCAGAAGTAGTGAGTCATTATAGCCATTAGCGCTATTCCAGCGAGTAGTGAAGCCAGATGTGTGGCCGATTGTTTTTTGTCCTGCTCGCGCAACAGATCCGGCAGAACTGTCACTAGAGCTATGTGCAAGAATCCGCCCGCGGTGAATGGCACTATCCAGGACGTTTTAGCCTCTAAAACATTAATTATTATTATAAATATGTTTGCATAACGTATTAAAAAGTATGTAAAGGAAACACATTTATATAAAAGCATTTAGAGTGGGGTTTGTACTTATCAAGATTTATTTGGTAATTATCATGATAATAAGCCGATAATTATCTGATTAATATCCACAGTTACTGGCAAATTTTTTTTTTACTACAGAGATTTATTCATAATTGAATCAACTTTTTTTTTATTATATTTGATCAATTTTGCATTAACACTGCTATACTGGAAAATATTCTTAATGAAAAATACTTAAACAATCCACTTTGTCCCTGGTTAGTTTGCGATGGGATTCGAACCCACGACAAAAAACCATATTTGATAGTTGTTTAAAGATGATTCACCTTTAATAACAAGTCCTTAAGTACACAAATATTTTGTGTATTGTTTTATAATCATCAATGATAATTATCACTCCCAACCCTGAAATTTAAAGTATATGAGGGGTTTAAGACCCCTCATATACTTCCTTAAAACCTTCAAAATATCCTATCTTTATCTAGAATTATAAATAGACTAGTCAATTTTCATCAATCCTTAATATCTCATATTCAAAAATTCAATGTTGATGTCTGTAGCAATATTTTTACAAGCCTTTATTTAATTTTATAATTTTAGTAGATGTTGAAATTCCAACCGACGTTTAAACTATATGAGAGGTAGCTCTCATATAGTTTAAACGTCGGTTGGAACATATACTTTAAATTGGACAGGTAAAGTCGGGATTACGTTCACATCTACATTTAGCCGTAGCACAAACATAAGAGTAATATTATAAGAACAATTTAGTGCTGTAAAAATCAATCTCATTTCAGGCTCTAGTATTTGCGAGTCTATTTTTTCATAGATTGGCGAAAAGGGTTTTGTTTCATTTTCTTTTTGTTTCAAATTCTACGGTTGACATATATCGTAACATAATGTCATATAGATTATATATTATAGTTACTGACCTATAGCATTCCTAGCCCCACTGAAAATCACAGCTGTCATCGCACCGATAAGACCTGCTGATGCCGTCGCCTGAAATATTAAAAAAAAAACTCGACTCATCATCTAAATAACAGTAAGGCAAACACGAACTTGTAAAGTATTCGTTATGTAAACGTATCGAGTCGCCGATACGATTATGTTAGCTCGTAACACGAAGCACTTTCGTTATCGTTAACTCGACTCGATAACACTGATGTCATCCTATTGTAATATGAACGAGAATAACTGAATGGCCAACAGACATTTTTGAACGAATGTTGCGTTTTCTTTTTTAACACGAGAAACTTTTTAGCAGATTTAATTGAAAATATTGAGAAAGAAACTAAAATTCAATACATGTCACGTATCATATTTTAAAACCAACTTTTAATTTCCGAACGACTAACTCGATTTTGTAATTTGATGTATATACAACACAGTTGTATAAATACATCAATGGGCGTTGAGTGCGCAGTGGCATTGATTTCATAGAAACGGAGATTTATCTAAATCGTTTGGTGGTCCTCGGAGCTATCATTTCATTGTGTTACAATTGAAAGAATTAAGCTAAAAACTTAATAATGAAGGATTGGGTGATTTTTCCTCGGAGGTAAGTGTCTTAAGGTATGCATCCTCAAGTGGTCGCTCTAATCACTTTAAATCCAAGTACTATTATATTACTTTTCTCTGACAAACGTTACAATTTATTACATTGATAGTATCTATTCAAGTAAACATATAGGCTAACATATTACATACTTGATTTTATTCAGTATTTGTTCTGATAATCATATCTTATAAGCTTAAAGTAAAGTATAATAACATAATACTGCTCATATTGTGCTCATTTGCTCATATTGTCATATAAGGAAATTAATTGTGAATTCTATGGGGATTTTTAGGGCGTTGTACGCTGGAATACAGGATGTCTTTTCCTATTTCGGCAACAGAGGAGTAATTTAAGTTGTTACCTATTTTTGTAAGTTAACTTAGTATAATTGTAATATTCCTACTTTATATATAATAATAATGATACAACACAATGGACAAAACAACACCCTCTACACGTTTATTATATATACAGATTATAAACGCTTTTATAAAAAAAAAATACTTAATATTGAGTAAAGTATAAATGGGTAATTAATAAATAGAAAGTATCATACCAATTGCGCTTTAGCTGCCTCCCACCTCGAGAACCCGCTCTTCAATAGTATAGCAAAATCACCGACCTCATGAGGGATTTCATGAACTGTAAATAAATAACATAGTGATTAAGAAAAAAACATCTAACAATACGTGACAATCAGAAATATTAATATATTCAGTAAAATCTCCTTAATTGTATAGCGAAGTTCTAAACTAAATAGAATAATAATTTATATAGTTAGTTAGTTAGTTTCTCACCTAGTATGGCGAATGTGGTTAGAACTCCTACACGAAAACCGACCAAGAAGGAGCCACCAACCGCCAGACCGTGTGTGAAGTTGTCAATAGAGTTGGCCATCAAGTTCAAGTATCCAGCTACCTGAAATAAGGATATATTTTTTATAGTTGTTAGCTTGGCATTAAAGTTTTGTACAAAGAGATAAAGTGACAAATGAGTTATATTTAATTTAAAAGGTTCTCTCGCTCACTGCGACAGCGTTAATTTTTCTTCAATTAAAGTAAACCTTAAAATTCAACATTTATTCTTGTTGTAATCATTTGCGTTTTACCCTAAGAAACAATATTTTTTAAAGGTAATTCCAATTTTTTACTTAGTACTTCTCAGTCCTAGTATGGACGTGAATTGTAAAGTCGAAGAAGTGTGGATTTTGTAGTAAATATATTTTGTAATTTTATCAAGTAAATAAAGTCGGATTGTCAATTTAATTAGCGATTTATCCTGAATCCTAAGTTGTAACAATAACATTTCTCTGATAATTAGTTTACCAATTTTTGGTAACACTAATAAAAAAAAACTGTAACCAATCAAAATAAAAAAATCACTCTCTAGATTTAGTGTAACATAGAATACAAAGATGTTGTTTATTAGGGTGTATGCCATCGTAAAACCGTAAACGTAGACAAATAATAATTTGTAACATTAGGTTATAAGGTATCGTAAGTTTCGGTTAGATTGTAATATTTCCAGAAAATTATAAAGTGACGATGCTAATGAGTTGAGTGATACAGTGAATCACTCACGTCCTTTTTGTCCTGTTTAGTCTTGGTGGCCTTCGCGGCCTTGTCCCTAGCCTCTCGTAGCAGACAGCGGCCCATCCACCGGCCCCCTGCGCCCGCCCCCGCCCCGCACCTGCCCCCTGCACCCCCCGCGCCTGCGCCAGCCGCCATACTGCAACACCCGCCCTCTCCCGACCCTGCATTTTTGCACAAATTTGGTTTAAGCGTTTTCAGTCCGGAAATTTCTCCGGTCGCCCTGTTACGGATAAAATGGATGCCATTTTTGGAAAAGCAAAATATCAGTATCACATATCAGTAGTTACGACGTAGCTGAAGAACTGGATATTGATCACAAAACAGTTTTGGCGTATTTGAAAAAGACGGGTACACAAAAAAGTTGAATATTTAGGTACCGCACAAGCTGATAGAAATCTAATGAACCGTGAAAAATTGTACTAATTTGTGATTATTATATCGAACAAAATGGTACTTACATACTTTATTTAAATGTAAAAAGACTTTGTTTAATCAAAAGTTTTGAATTTTCATATAAAATGCTAAGAAACTTTTCCCCCAACCTATTACATAAAAATTTTGAATAGGTACTACTACCTGTTTAATAATATAATTAATCAAGAAATCAATAATAAGAATAAATAAAAAATAGAAATCCATATTTCTTGAAATAAATTCATTATTTATAATTTTAACTTTTGTTTTTGTGATCTTGATAGTTCCAAGTTCCACTCCCTCTTGTAAGAAAAAATAAGAAATGACCTAAATCATCTGACGGGTATTGATGCTGTTTTGCCAACAAATGTCTATGCCACCAAATGTCTATATTAATAAGATTAACCGTAACGTAAGACTAGCGCCCTCTGATGTGATAGTCAACTGTTTAATTAAATTTACTGCAAGACTCGACATTTGGTTACACGACCAAAGATGAACGTTCAACAGTAGAATTAGACGCGACGTAAAACAAATTGTTTAAGGTCAAAATGCTAAGCTAAGATAATATGAACGTTATGTATATGTAATGTACAACTATATTATTATTTTAAGCATTTGGTTATATACTAAGCGGCGTATTAAGTTTTTCCAAAAAATTTATTAAAAATTTATTGTTGCTACGCCGATACTGCAATATTACTGTATTCTTCTATGACCTTTGAATACGTTGAGTATCAGTGGCATTGCATGACGTGACGTCAGTGGCATTATGTCCATGCGTATGAAAACCGATCGATGTTTGAATAATTTTGCACAATAACACATACAGCGCTATAATCATGGCCGTCTTTATTCAGGGCTGCAAGGAATGCCTGGGGCGCCTGTTGAGCGCTGAATATTTAGATATTTCATGGAACTCCGCTGAATATTTAGATACCTACTCTTCGATGACTACGGTAATGCGCCCCAAAGTTGTAATTTCTATTTTAATTAATATAATTATATTTTTTCAACCGCTGACGCTGAACAACGATTCTTGAAATATCTATAATTTTTGTTATTTTTTTTTAATATAAATATGTGTAAAAAAAGTCAAAACCTTTTCTGTTATTGGAGGGGGGGGGGGGGGGGGCAACAAATTCGGATTCGTTATACAAAAGAGGCTAGTTGTAATGATTAAGTTTTGGAGATATAGTGCTATGTTTGTAGTACTGCCGCTGGTCGGCCGAAAATGCTACCTACTAATTAGTCATAAAGTGACGTCATGCCTTGCTATAGTGGTGAAAGTGACGTATGGGCGTTTGGGCAATCTTTGCAATATCTTTGTTATTTGCGCTTTTATGTTTATTGTAACGAAATTTTAAGTTGTTACATTCATCATAGGTAACTAATTTAACGCCATTATTTTAGTAAATTTTTGTTAAATCGCTACTTTTTTCAAGTTATCGAAGCATTACATTTTTTAAATTAGTGTAGTAAAGTTTTTTTTTAATATTTATAAATTGAAATGGTTCATATAACAGAAAACAGCATTTTCACTCAACACTAATAAGTATATTTGATAGCCAAAAATCTCACCTTTAGTATTATTATTGAACACACACGTATCATACAGTTGTTCCGCTGTCACTGTTCCGTTACATAGGCCTGGTCCTTTAACGCCTCTCTGTTTCCTTTCAACCTCTAGAAGTTTTTCGATCTCTTCAATCTCTATCTGTTTTATATCACCGTTCTGTTTCTTCTTTTCCGATTCTTCTTCTTCTTCGTCTGTAGCTGCGAATAGTTTCTCAACTATTATAAAGACTAGCATGCCAAAGAGACACCATAGTCCACATTTTAGAGACACGTGTTCACCTTCTGCAAAAGAAAACGGTAAAATATAATATGTATATTACATTAAATAAATTAATATCATCCTATAAGAAAATTATAGTTGGTATTAGAATTTGTTTTAAAATGTTTGATTCACAAATACCCCATTGATGCCAAAACCAAAATACATAAGGACATAGAAACGTTTTCAGAAGTTAATTTAAATTAATATTCTAAATTACTTAGAAAATATAGAAAGACTGCGGAACTGTCACTTCTGCTTTAGATCAAATTTTGTCATAAATAGTGTCACTAGTATTGTCATACGAGTTTACCCGGGTTTGTACAGGTATCCAAATAGTATTCAATACTCGGGATAAAAAAAAAGCCAAATTAAATATGCGGTAAATGCTGAATGCAATATTGATCAAAGCTACAGTAAACTAACATGCAGATCCCTATACAAAGGTCATAATTATTTACAAACACATCCCCACCAGACTTTATAAACAGTCTGATTCACTATTAGTTAATAATGCAGACGCCCGATAGCTTGGAACACAAAACCTTGAGGAAAACTATCTAAACTAAACAATGATCCTTATCACCTAGTGCGTACGAGTGTAATTAATAAACGACAGAAACTACAACAACACAAAACCTCAGTGTTGGATCGACGCGGTCGCGTAAAACTAAGCTGTCTCATTGTATGTACACTTGCCAAGCAATGGATTTACAATTTGTTATTGTCTATAAAGGGAAGTTCAATGTCTTTGTTTGCGGTTGCTAAGCGCGTATTTTTGTTTACAAATGAAGACGACGGTTTTCTTTCTTTAAAATCGTTCTAAAGACTTTTATTACTTCCGACATCAAGTTTAATCTTTAGAATAATGACTTCCGCCGATGCTTGAATAACATTTATCGTCACCATGGCTCTTGCATTGGTCGTATTCGGATTTTGGCGATTTTCGTGGGTCATTCATAATTGATCGATCGACAGCTTAAATCTGAATTATTTTTATTTTAATGAACTAAAAAAATATTAATGTGAATGAGGTAAAGAAATTGCCCGCACACAACACACTTTGAAACCGTTTGTGGTTTTTTTGAAGTCGGTTAATCTCGTATATACACAGGTGTACTGACGATCCCCTTTTTCTGAAGTTGGTTAAAGAATGTCGTCAATTTTAACTTCTTTTATATGTCGGTTCATTTTTTAGTCCTTTCATAAGTTTCTTAAATTTCAATAGTTTAGATCTTCAAACTACTGAACCGATTTAAATGAAATTTGTAGTGTACCCTAAGTTGAATTATTTTGACTTTTTTAGTAGTCATACACTTTTTTGCGAAACTACGTTTCATATTTATACCCTGAGTTACAAATAAATATTTATCAAATGGAAGTATTTTTATAAAGCCCAATTATTTATTGGATTTATTTATATTCATTGCAATGCAAGTTAAATTACTTCATTAAACACGTCGATAACATATATACAACTACTTAACCGAATTAATTAGCTGTATGTATTTAAAGACGTGTCATCATATTTCGTTATCTCGAAGTAAATAATAGGTCGGGGAGAAAGTTTCTTAGCATTTTATATAAAAAAATCAAAACATATTTTAATAAAGTTTATTTACATTTAACTAAATAATGTAGGTACCATTTTCTTCGATAACTTTTTGCCATCTTGTAGGTAGGGACATGATCATTGACCACATGACCATTACTATTGAAATTTCGTGGCTTCTGATCAAAAGACCGCGACAAGTGGTTTTGGCAGTTCTCTCGTGATGTTAACCTGACACTCCCTAAAGAACTCTGAAGAGACCGAAACAGTTGGAAATCGGAAGGTGCACGGTCAGGACTATGATGATGTATTAACACCCCTCAGCCCAACTCTCTTAATTTTTACTGAGTGGCAAAAGATGTGAGAGGTTATTATGATGAAAAACCACACCCCTTCTCCTTTAATTCTGGCCGCTCTCTCTAAACTTCTTGCTTAAATCTTATCAGTTGTTCGCTGAAGAGATCCTTGGCGGTAATAGCTCATAATTAATAATGCCCTTACAATCCCACCATACCCCTATGGGTATAGTTGTTATTAATATTTTTATAGTTGTTATTAATACAATAAATATAGTCGTGACAATGGAGACAAATATGTTATTTTGTGATTTAATAACACGAACTTTGTCAAATGGTGATGTTTTGTGGTCAATCTCCAGTTCTTCAGCTACGTCATAACTAATAATATGCCGATAATGCCCCACTTTTTCAAAAAAGGCATCCATTTTATCCACAGGGCGACCAGAACATGACGCACCGGACGGAGAAAATCACACATTTCGTAATTTGAATACGAAATCTTTTTCTTTTTCATTCAAAAATTATCTTTTTAATTTTTATTTTAATGATACCGATATATATGGTATACCCAGAAAGATTTTATTTATGCATCCAATATGCGAAAAGACTTTTCGCCCAACCTAATATCCAAATATTAAAACATTGCATTAGGAAGTCTAGAAGTGGTTGTAAAAACGTTACGTGTCAATGGTGTTTTCATAACATCACCATTTGACAAAGTTCGTGTTATTAAATCACAAAATAACATATTTGTCTCCATTGTCACGACTATATTTATTGTCGTCATGTTCTGGTCGCCCTGTGGATAAAATGGATGCCTTTTTTGAAAAAGTGGGGCATTATCGGCATATTATTAGTTATGACGTAGCTGAAGAACTGGAGATTGACCACAAAACAGTTTTGGCGCATTTGAAAAAAGCAGGGTACACAAATAACAAATAAGTAAAACCACTCACAGCGCGACTCGAATCACGCAACATAATTTGGAAAGGTTTCCTATAAATTTTACCTTTTCTGTTGGCTAAGTCGTTTTCCCAGGCTTCTGGCAACAAATGTAGGAAGACATCACCGAGTAGCCCGCCTACAGCGAAACTCAGAAGCACGCGCAGTGTTGCGGCACCAGCTGGAATTGATAATATTCTGAGAGGTCATGTCATGATAGATAATTTAGGCATTTTTAGTTTGTTCAAATCGACAATCGGATAGACAGAGAATGGGGATTGCGTGTTAAAAAAATCAATAATTGTTTTTTTACCAAAATAATAATAAATTATTGAAAGATTTTTAGTGTACGCTCTCTTAAATAGTTGTTCCGATTTATCGCCAATAGCTACTGAATTTAACAATAGTTATCTTATTGATAACGCGTTATATATTTCAGAGATAAAATATCCAAACAGAATCAAAGTATATGGTACAATAAAATATTTTGTTCGGTTTGGCATAGAAATGATCATTTTAGGCTTAGCAACATTTAAGTATAAATATATTTTAATCCACTATATCTTATCAAAATGTGATTTCCAGTATTCTTCAATACCTACACCATGTTCTATACCTACACAGTGCATAGCAATAAAAGTGAGTTTCACTGAAATTATATTAATATTAAAAAAAACTATTATTATTTTTATATAGTTTATTTAATATCAGCTATTTTATTGCGACTTTATGTCTCGCTAGTATGACGCAGCTTCCGGTAAGTGAAAGATTTTTTAAAATAGGTCCATTATAATCTTTTTTCTTTATAATATAAACATTTACAGAAAGCTCGATGGCATTCGAATGGCTTAAATACCCCATATGTGTATAACAAGAAACAAAGTGTCATTTATACATGGGCACCCCCCAATTTTATAATCTAGGCATAAAGAAATTGCGAGTAAGATACATGTAACAATAAATAATTCTCGTCTGTGAAATCTATGGAACAAAATAAAATATGTATGTAGCATTGAACTCATTCTCTCTCACAGCCCTCGGTTTTATTAGAAACTTAACCGATAATATTAATCCAGCACGTTTCGTTCAATCAATGTCTAAGTTTGTTGATTTAGATTTTTATCGAAAACTTAACAAGAAACAAAGTGTCATTTCACTTATAAACATCATTCGCTTATCATGACATCGTTGTAATCATGAGGATATAGGTATGCCGATATCTTTAATGTATAAAGCATGTAGTGATTGTGTCGATAAACACTATTGCTGTTTAGAAACGATATATCCAATTAGGGATATTGTTATACTGACCACAAGTTGGCGCCTCTTCGTAGTAATTAAACCGAAATATAAAACAAGGAAATAGAAACTAATTTTAATTGGCAAAAGAAAGGAGAACGTCCCTAAATACTTTTTCTTTTGTTGCACGCTAAAATGGTTATAACGCACCTGATGGAACGTGCTATTGAATGCAACTAGAAGTCTAAGCTACTCCCAGCCATTGCTATCTTGCGGACCTGCTAAAGCCTCTTCACGCCTCTTTTTATGGACCCATGGTTATCAGAAATTGGAAATGCCTCAGAATGAAAACAATGTAACTTTGTAAGATAGTCGAATTGTTATTAAGAGAACAATTTGTCACGAAATTGTGAAGGGGATGAAGGGAATAACTCTTTAAAGCAATCAAAGCTAATATAGTAAAACGCATCGAGTGAGGCAATATCTCGGCTCATTCGCAGTGGCTCAAGATGTTTGGTGATCACTTCATCGTCAATGCTCGTTGTCTAGTATGTCGCTGCAATAACCTGTCTAATCTAGCTTGGGCATGCGAGAGATACTTTTCGGAATCATCCCAAATATGCAAACATTACCTTTGCTTGACCTAGCTCGACTTTTAAAGAGCCGGGCACCTTGTTCAATATTCAGAGTCAACATGAAGCAGTTTAGAACTTCTGGGAGTGAATCTCACTACTCATATCTCATTCTAACAAATAAGCTTGAATTGAAAAACGTTCATTGAAAAAATTTACTTTTAGCGTAAGATTTGTCGCCTATTATTATGAAAATTAGTGTAAAATGCTTCGTCACTAATCTCGGGAAAATCAAGTCAGTACCACTAGCATAACACGAAAACTTATTCAGTGCGATCTATTTCGTAACGAGCAAATAAGGATTATTCCAGGGTAAAAAAAAAGAAATTCGATTTGTTTGGTCCGTCAGTTAGATAATAGAAACATATTAGATACGATATAAAAATACGTGTTTTATATTCTTCAATAAATAGCTATCTGACGGACTAACAAGCAAAAATTGGTCATTATCCCTATTGATATTTGTACTGGACTACCACAGAACTATCATAAAACGAACTGAGATTTTCAATACAAAATGTTGACATTTGTGCTTGATAAGAAAACTTTTTGCACTCGATCTACTTTTTCCTATTTAGTGTCAGTACACTAAATAGGAAAAAGATGGATTTCCACGGAAAAGAAATCCACGTCATTGAGCGTAGAAATTTTATTGATTCCATTTTTTTGTATATAAATACAAAATAAAATTCATTTATTCTATTCCTATGTCATTTCGAAACTCACTTCACTTATGCCACGAAACGTTATTATTTTTGAAGTGAATTCGGACACCTGAGTGGATTCGAATTCGGGTTTGAAGTTTTACAGAATCGCAGGGCTGATCAGTCCTGCGATTCTGTAAAAATCCAAACTCGAATTCGAATTCACTTCAAAAAGCGGCATCCGCTCAACCTTGAATTGGTATAACATTTCGTGGCATAAGTGAAGTGATTTTCGAAATGACATAGGAATAGAATATCCGAGACACGTATATTCAATGAATTTTATTTTGTATTTATATACAAAAAAATGGAATCAATAAAATTTCTACACTCAATGACGTGAATTCGGACACATGGGTGAATTAGAAATCAGGTCTGGATTTTCACAGAATCGCAGGGCAGATAAAAAAGATTTTAGCAAAAAATAATACCTGACTCGTGTGAATGATTTTGATTTCATCATGTGTATCTACTAAATTAAGTACCCACCTATCTACTAAATTAAGTATAGTTAATACTCAGCTGTATACCTGAGACAGCACGATGAAACATTGTTGCAATGTCGAAGAGTTCAATTTTTATCTCGCATGAGTACGCTGCTCTAACTCACGTATACTGATAAAACACTTAATGTGATAAAAGGGACAGTGGCACTGTTACTTTATCGTGATGAAGTCATATGCAAGGATATAAATGAGTCCTTAGCTACAACTAGCTATATTACAACAGTGTTACTCAATATGATATTTTTACACTCAAAGATACTTTAGATCAATGGTAGCAATTCTATTACAAAAACTAGATAACATTTAAGTTTGGTCCTGTCAACTGTGTTTTCAATTGTGAATATAAGCAAAATAACAGAAATACTTATTATATTATAGTTACAGGAACATATTTATTTGACGTATAAATATAGAATAATGTTGAAACAAATTAAAATTAAAGTAAGATTATTTAGTTTAATTTAAAGAGTAGTAAAACTAAATTTGCACCAATCTCCAACACTATTATCTAAATTAGGTGTAATTACAAAATAATAATAAACGAATACGATTAATCAAATTCAATAGAACATGTAAACGACTTCTCAAAAAATATTTATTAAAGGTATAAATATTTTTTGAGAGCAAACAAAATTGTTCCCTATTCGATTACTTACCCAAGGAGTTGCGTCGTTTAATCAACCCCATTGTCGATAGTAAAATTTATCGATTGTGGTTTCAACTCGGGCAGTTTCACGTTTCGCAACGGATACATTATACGCAAACAAATGTTTTATCGTTATAAATGCGATTGACCGAATAATATCAATCACCACGCTTGACCACGCTTCATAATTAAATTTTGCAAACAATTGGTATTTAATATCGATTAGAATAAATTTTTATTTTCATTATCATGATGATGACTACTATGTTGTAGTCATCATTCCCAGTTAGGCTTGCCAGACCGCCGGGAAATCCGGGATTGTCCCGGAATCTTGCCTCTTGTCCCGTGTCCAGTAATTAGCGCTTATTGTCCCGGATTCTGGTAACTTATTATTTTTTTACAAAATAAACTAGCAACGAATGACACGGCTGCCGGTGAGCGGGTGCGGGAGGCGCGCGGGCGCGGGAATAGTTTTACTTCACTCGCCCACCCGCAGGAAAAATGCCATTTGAAAATAAATGGCATTTTTCCTTTTAAATACAAATACGAAAAAATATATATTTAAGATTTTTTTTTTATTATAACCACGAGCCAACATTTTTTTTGTAGAATTGTCCCGGATTTGATAAGTTACTATCTGGCAACCCTATTCCCAGTACCCAAAAGACAAACAATTTAAAACGGCTAAGCTATTTATCTAATGTTTATTTCATATTTAAATATTTCTTAAATGTCAATACAAACCAAATCAACGTGGAATTATAAAAAAAGAAAGCACTAAAAAAGCACCTCACTAGATGGCGAATCTAGCAAAAGTTGATTTTTGCAGGAAACTAATGGACCAAAGATAATCATTTCCGTTCCTTTTACTAACATGTTAAAAACTGAAATTTGCAAGTCCGAAACTTAGATATCAATACAAATACGAAAAAGTACAAATTGAATATGAGTTGTTTATTGAGTTTTGAAAACTAATTTACTTATATAAAGAAAACCGGAAGGGTTGTCATGGAGAAACTAAGAAAGTACCATAGCGACATCTAGTTTGATTTCGTTTTTTTTTTAAATACTTCCTCATTATCGCAAACTGGTATTGTAAAGGTTCTCCGTAAACATCGGTCACTCAGTGGTGCAGACTAACACTTTTTTATAGGACATATTGATAAATTTAAGTATTTAATAATGATATTTTTTTTTCATTGAATAGGCTCCTATACTTCTGGACCTAATAAAAATTATTATAAAGCTGCATCATACGCGGGCGACATAGACTATAATTTTACGCGGGCGATATCGCAGAAAGAAGAACAGCTAGTTTTACATGCAAATGAATGAAAAAATATGTGAATTGTGGTAGTAGTTTTGTATTTAAAACAATATTGTTGTTTTGTTACAAAAATCTTTATCAATCTGTAGTTGACTTTGTAGTAAATTTATAATTTCGCAATTAAAGCTTTTTTTTTGTATAAAACCAATTGGAATTTAGAGGGTTTTTGGTTTAGTCGCCCTTTAATTACTCTTCGCCTCTTTCCCTTAGTCGATGACGGTTACCGGGCCGGGTCGTTAGACACAAACATAGCTATCTGTATTATTATTACAATGAAGTCTCATTGGATGACCTATTATCACGGATAATATTATATATTTTTTTACTATGTTTCATAGTAACAACAACAGTAGCAAAAAGAAATGTTATCGAAACCGCACACTGGCACATGTTAATCATGTCAAAATTGGTGCTGTTTCGATTGTATAAAATAAAAACTCGCGTGGTCCTGCATTATACACATAAACCTTTCTCTTGAATCACTCTATATATTGATAAAAACCGAATTAAAATCTGTTGAGTAATTTAAAAAATATCCGCGCACAGTATAATAATTTAATATAATAAATACTAGTCGTTTTCCTGTGATTTTTTTTCAAATCGGTCTAGCTAGTAGTTTCGTTGCCTATTCAATGCAAACAAACATGCAATCAAATCTATTCTTTTTAGTATTAACTACTTTTTATAAGAGTTTTGGCTGCCTCAATAGAGGTGTTTTTTTATTAAAGGACTGAAACATTTAAAAGAAGTAGAAATTGTTTTGTTCGAAAGACAATTATTATAAAGGGCATTTGAGACATCCGATACGTCAATAAAACTAATACAACGCAATGCAACCGTTTGAGTTTTTTTTTTCATTTATAAAGCGCTGTCACCTTATAAGGCCCATTTTTTCGGCCGTTGGAGTCCTAAAAAATGATATAATTAGAATTTAATTTTTAAATTAAATATGATCAATAATCATAAAATATTTTTTGCTAATGCAGAAAGCTATGCTATTCTGTTAAAAAAATTGCCTCGAACTAAGCGTCGAACTCAGTTGGTTTCATAACAGAACAGAGTTTTAGCATTACCCCTAGTATGCGAATGAACACCGTACTAAAACCTGCTCTCAAGCTAGAAAACCCGGTTAGATGACAACCTTAGGTCATCAGCACGTCAGCAGTTGAGAAGCAAGTTATATCAATTGATACTGTTGATGCAATCGCGGTAATTGAAATGGTAACGCTCTTAAACTGTTTCGTTAAACACAAACAAAAAGTAAAATATTATTCGGTTTACACTATGCAATACCTAAGTCACGCCTAGAGACTATTTTACAAAGCGATGATCCATTTTGTTTTTATTTTGTCAGTCATTTTTTCTCTGAGATCTAAATATGGATTTTTATTGAGACTTTATCTATAAACTTAAAAAATTACAATGACTGCGTAATTCTACGAATTTAATAGTATAAATTAATCACATCTTTTTAGTTACTCAGTGTGTTACTTAGAAATTGTAAAGGTTCTATATTCTTTTTTAGTTCTATAGTCTTATTTATAGAAAGTTGTTATCAGTAAACGCAGATGCTATTCCAATAAAGCTTACTGAGCTATGAAATGAGACCTCGGTCGAATGACGTCACTACAAGCTAAGGGAAGCAATGCGTGATGAAACTAGTTAAAAAGATTATTTGAAACTACTTTCTTCCTTTGATACAGTGGCGAAGTATCCTCTATCCATAAAAACACAAGGCATATGCCTAGGGGTGGCACGTTACAAAAGGCCAAGATAGTCAGCCTACAAGTTAGGAATAATTTAAAAAACTATTGAAGGAATTCGATGGTGCAGTGACTAGTAAGTTCGGTCTGTAATAAATGAAGTTAAATAACTTTCATATGTGCCGTCCATAAGCTGGGTGACCAAAAGTTTTTCTAGCTCCTCAATGCAAATATCACTAAAATTAAACTGTAAACCTATGATAAGAACGAAGAAGTAAGTAAGCAATAGATGATGCAGATAAATGTGTCCAATATAGCAGCTTGATTTAACTTAATACCCATATCATCATATTTAATCCTTCTACGTTCCCACTGCAGGGGTTCAGGCCTTCCTTATGGATAATTAAGGAGGATGGGCCATGACCCTTCACGCTAGCCCAATGCGGATTGGAGGGTATTAACGACTATAAATGCAGGCGGGACTAACCACTTAACGTGCCTGCCGAATCACGGAGTAACTCCAGATATTTGGTTACCCATCCTGTGACCAAACCTTGCTAAAGTTGCTTAATAACAATGATCCCGGGCCGCAGCGCTTATCCACTACGCCATCTAGCTACTTCGTAATACCCATATAATTAAATAGATCTCACCATTCATTCTGCTCGTAATTTCATATCCATAAAACATTCTTCAGGTATCCGTCTTAATAATTTCATATGAAACCCTAATATAATAATTATATTTTTTAATCTTCCATCAAAAGGATCTATTCTTCTTATAGATCTATTCTTCCATCAATTAACAAGTTTGTGGCAGTAATGTTTGATATCAATGTGCCATTAAATACAATAGGTATAAGTGGCAAAGGTGGAACTCATTATTACAGTTTAGTAACAACAGTACTGTAATGTAACATTGGTGAAAGCAACAAAGCTAAGAATCAGTCAACTGTTGGAGCAAAAATTAGGCAATGATCATTTGTTACGTAACCTATAGTCGACATTGTGCTCCAACTTAACCAAATTTGAAATGGGTGGGTTGCATCTGTATCAAGCTTGAACAATAAAAGATAGTTTTTAGGAAAAAAAACACATTAAGGTTCTCTAATTTTAGAGGAACATATCATTGTTTTATGATATAATAGTGCTTGGATAAGGCTGAATGCAGCAACATTAAGAGTTAAATAATAAAATTAATTGAAATATAATTAACATAGTGAAAAAAATCTTAACTAATAGGAATTGTAAAAGAAAGGGGAGCTGAAGAAAGATACTACTGAATTACAATTTAACTAAGGATGAAGCGATTTCCAATAATGGAAGAATACATCACATAGTCGCTTGATGATGTAGTGGATAAGAGCCGCAATCTACAATAGTTGTTGTTATACAATTTTTGCATGGGTCAGTCACAGGATAAGTGACAAAAAAAATAAGGTTGAATCAGTCCATGTTTCAGAAGGCACGTTAAGCTGTTGATCCCTGTTGCATTTGCATAGCTAATATCTTCAAAATCACAATTGGCCAGAGTGGAGGGTCATGGTCCATCCTCCTTAACTATCTATAAGGAAGGCCTGAGCTGAGGCCCTGTAATGAGGATGTAAAAGGGCTGATGATGTTATCACATAATCTATCTTAATTTTTTATTATTTTTTTAGGAAAATATTTGTTCTTTGATCAACTAATTAAAGTATTTAATTTGAAATTTTAAAATATTGTATTCAGTTCATTTTCATTACATATTAACTTATCATACACAATTTATTACTCTCAAAAAATTCAGAGTAGGGTAAGCTGATGATTTGAAACTGAATAGGTACAAGCTAAGAGTTGTCTGTTTCTTTAACAGTTTCATATCAAAAGAGTTGAATGTTGCAAAAACAGTCAATGGATTCTCACACTCCATAATGCAGACAAAAATCATATAAGTAAGAACTAAACAAAATATCTTATTTCCTATTAACAGTTTCATTTCTAACAGTTGGCATATTTTTAATTTGATACTAGTCTGAACAGCAATACCTGCCTACATAGTAATAGTGTTTGTAAATATAGCAACAATTTATGCTAAAGTTATTTAATACAGAGGTACCTACATAAAATACTATTTATACAATTTTTACAAATTATGCATCAATTGCACAAATGTACAATAAAATTGACATTATTATAAAGCAACACTACCAATACAAATTTTCAAATTTAGAACATTCATTAGAGCTAGTTGTCATTAAAGCTTAATGGATGTTTGTGCATCTGGGTGTACTGGTGAACATCATTCATTATTATGTATGAAATAATGTAAATTTCTATGAAGTTAATGCCTAAAACATAAACAACACTTATATTTACAATAACTACAGATTTATATAATACATGTTATTGTACAATTATTTATTTATTTATTTTATTTTATCCAGAAGAGTTTTAAGACAAGCAAGTAAGTATTACAGTACATATTTGATTTAATATAATGACACAAAAAGTTAATAAGATTTGTCTGTTAATTAAAGATTGAAGATATACCAAAATAATTAACAAAGGAATAATGTTAAAGAACGGTCAGATGTTTGTTGACACTTTACACGACGTGCACGCACTCCTAAAAATAGTTGTCTTGTGTAATGTAATGGTAGGTAAATTAAATATAAGTTCGCACTTACCTCCGTCTTTGAAAGATGCAGTTTCGTCTATAGGGATTATCAGCAGTGGCAGTATACCACTTAAACCCACTAAAATTGATGCCAGAGCAGAAAATAACCATGGATGTTCATCTAACTCTTCGACGAATGTCCAGATGTATTCAGGGAAATATAAAGAGAACACTGAACTTATTGCACTCATTTTAAAAGCGTAATATCGCCCGTGGGTAGCCTTAATAATATTTAAACACTAAGTAATAATGTTTATTTTAAATTTAAGAAACTGATATTAAGAGCTACCCATTTCTAGGAAGAAAAGGCGTCCGTAAGATATCCCTCCGCGTAACGAACTAATAGAGCAAGTAATAACTAATCAGTTAACTGGAGATGTTGCATTATTTTTGAGATAAAATCTACAAGCCAGATCCAGACTATTTTAAATCTATACTGATACAAGTCAAGAACGTAGATCGGCCACCCGGTTCAACGTATAATAGCAGCAAAAAAAGACGTATAACTTGAAGAATGTCTTTTTATTAATCGATACTAACATCTAATTATTTTTTACATATTGCGCGCATTTAATCAAATAAACGACACCTTCAATAAATCGGATCTTGGAAGCAAAACAAAAGAAAATCAAGCAAACAAGACACTGAGCGAATGAGTGTACGACTTATAGACATTTGGTGAGTGAAGGACGGAATTAGGACATGAAAAGAATGAATGTATAATGACAACTAAAATGTTGCCAAAGTAAGAATTTACTTCCAACCTATAAAAATCTAAAAGTCACATTTAATCAAACAGTACGTAAATATAAGTTTACTTCTGATAAAGTAATAATCCGAAGATTTCAAGACGCAGCTTGACAGGATTAAACTAAATTAGCAGGTGCATGCAATATAAAGAATTGCTATGGAAAAACTAAATTTGCTTGTAAGTCAATACTAATTTTGGGCAGTTATGTGTGCACTATAATATTAAAACTTGCTTGTTTTTATAACTGTCAATACAAATCATTAAGTCAAAGTTGATAATATTTTTAACTAATTATACTCCATTCATTATAGCATTAGACAGAAGTTAAATAAGGTTCTTTTTATGGTATACTTTGTGACAAAATATCAACAATCATGGTACTCTTAAGACTAACAGCTAATTTGCTACATATCCACTTAAATACCAGCTGCTATACTTAACTGTTGTCATTTAAGCTATCTATTAAACAAATTTATGAGTATATGACTAACTTAAATGATTTAATAACTATTTCAATACAAAGTGTTCATCGTAAAGAACCTAAAGAAGCTCTACCAAATTTAAATCGTTGCCTTACCCCTTCAAACGGTTCGGCAGTACAGCTTTATAATTTTGTCAGACTATTATTTATTAATAATTATTAAAATCGTAATCTGGGATTGTTATCTATTGTGTATGCTACTGCTTTTCTTCTTGTTATGCCGTTTTCCGTGATTAAGTTGTTATTGTTTTATTTTTGTTGTGAAGTTTTGTTAAATATGGACGATGCCCGTGCAGGCCCGAGGGGCCTACAAAAATTACGCTCTAAGCCCCTACCCTTTATACCTTTGACTAACTAATTACACTTACAATTAGAATTTATCAAAACAACAGACAGATATGTAGTTTCAGTTTTAGTTCCATGTTGGCTTGGGAGTAAATGATGAATTTATAAAATGCTGGCCTCATCTCAACCCCGAGGTATCGTAAAAAATGGAAAATTACCCAGCTCTTTCAGACTACCTAACATTCAAAGTTTCAACAAAACTAATAGTATTTTTAAATTTATCTTGAAAATAAAATGTTCTGCACTGCTGCTTCTATGACCCTCTTTTTTCTAATGTTATAATGAATGGAGTATAGATAAGATAGAAGTGGTTAGTTTTGGACTTAGGAGTTAGCGTGCATGATGATAAGCTGTATAAGAAAATATTTTTAAAAAAAAAAAAAAATATAAAACAATTTAAAAAAAACTTTAGTTGCCATAATCAAACTAGATGTCGCAACGGTACGTTCTTGATCATATTCTATTTGTACTTTTTCATATTTATAAGAATTTTACTTATTTTAATATTAAAATAATTGCTTGAGAAAAAGTTTCTTCGTTCACATGAAAATTCAAAACATTTTTTTATAAAGTTTATTTACATTTAACTAAAGTATGTAGTTACGATAACTATTGCCATTTTGTAAGTAGGATATGATCATTGAACACGTGACCGAAATACGAAGGTGCAAGGTCAGGAATAGTCCTGACCTGTAGGCATCTGAGGCAGACGTATAGACGTCTGATGCATCAACACCTCCCAGCCAAACTCTCTTAATTTTTGATGAGTTGTAAAATATGTGTGAGGTCTAGCGTTATCATAATGAAAAACACACCCCTTCTATCGATTAATTCTGGCCACTTTCTCTCAACTTCTTGCTTTAATCTCATCAGTTGTTCGTAGTAGAGTTCAGAATATTGAATAATGCCCTTCCAATCTCACCATACTCACAGTATTACCTTGTTGCGAGTTGACCCGGGTTTCGCCATAGTACTGACCGACCTTCATCTACGACCTTTTTCACACGTGCTGTGTGTATTTTATTTACTCTACATCACCACTTATAAGTTTCTTCAAAAAGTGTTCTGTTTCATTCTTTATTACGGTAATAAAAATCACAAATGAGTCAAATTTTTATTTTATTTTATTTATTAAGCTTTATTGTCAAAGATGCACGTCGAAAACTCTTAAACCAAAATTTTAACCATTTTTGTAATAAAAATCTATAATGAATCGAATTTATTAGATACACTTATTTTGACAGTAAGAAAAACAAACAAAAATCACACATTATCCTAATTTATTTCGGAATTACTCAATATAATATTTAATCTTTTTAATGATATAGATACAAGCCAGATACCAATGGTATAGTCAGAAAGATTTTATTAGAAGTTTATGCTTACTATATGCGAAAAGACTTTCTTCAACCTATCAACATTTAGTTTGTCGGTATTGTAAAAAGAATATTAAAATTAGTGGCAATACTAGTAAAGGAATGAATGGCGATGACGTTTAAAAAATTGGCGCCATTCAAAAATGAGTGATACAATCTTTCGTTTAATTAAAAAAATATATATTAGACCGTCAAACACTGAAGTATTAATGCGTGCCTTCCATATTATGAAAATAAAAAAAAAGTATTAATGAGTTTGTGGTTCAAAATGGCTGAAGTATTAATTATTTTAACGAAGGAATTAACCAAAGGGCACCTGACAACTGCTTTTAATTTTTCAGATTGCTTGCCATTGATACTGAATAAAAAAAACAACATAATCGTTAAATGTTATCTTATTTAAAATGATTTATTAAATTTTTAATCTGTTGTTAATCGATGCTGATACTTTTCACAGATATTTTATTTTCTTATATTCTAAAATATGAACCTATCTTTTACCTCACAAGAAAAACTTTCTTGTTCTAAGAAGTAAGGAAAAGTTAATAAATAAATTTTCATAACCAAATCTTTGATAAAAATATACTTTCTATATATTTTCTATCGATAGCGTAGTTTTTTTACTTGCTCAAGGTATACTTGCTATATTTATTTATCAAGAATACCGACGAATAGATTAACGTAGGTTCTGATAAGACAATAAGTAAAAAAAAAAACTTTAAGCGTGTGTTGGAGGTGAGCAAATGCTAAAATTAATGATAAAAAAGAAAAATAATTCAATAAATTTCTATTGATGTTGAGGGAGTATTGTGGAAGTTATTAAATAACCGTCCAAATTCAGTAAAACTTTCAATAATATTAATTAACAATAAAACTGTCACAACTTTTTATTACGACACGCAAATTACACAAAAAGATAAATTAGTTTGAATTCTACAGCCTAATGTCTATAATATCTATCGGCGGGCAGACTCCAATGTATGGAGGCGAAGTGGTTATGTTGTCACTTTTTAAAGAAGTAATAAATAGATTTAAGACTATTACTGAATAAAAGTTTATGAACCTTACACTATTTCTTTACGTAAAACTTATCTAATTTAGCAAAAAAAATGGTTGCCATCCAGTTTCTAGTTTTGAGTAAAACTTGTACAGACATGCGTAAAAAATATGTGTATTTCCTCGTCTCCGATTTATGTGTTACAGAAAATTTTGATTAAAAGAACTTTAAATGTTTAGAATATATTTAATCACGTTTTAGTACGCACATATAAAAGCTTGTTTTAAAAAAAAACTATAAGATAACATCCATGTTTTAGTTTGAATTGATTGATAAGTGTAATATTCAAGCAAATATTACAAGAATTCCGTAATTAACAACGCACAAATAATATGATATAGTGTACTAGATGGACAAGTACATCTATCTTTTAACTGTGACACGAATGCAACACGAGTCCTCTTGGCAACTACATCGTAGCCCAGTTGAAGCAAAATGCCGGACTTATTTTGGCTTGCCAATTTAAATATCCGACGGCATATACGTAATGCTATAGGTGCAGACCAAACGCTTTAGATTCACATCTGTGAACAGAAACTTAAAGATAATTTGCTGAATGCATAGTAGTTCCGCGCCAAAAGTTTGTGAATGAAGTGTTGTAGTGGTATTGAATGCAAAAACCTAGTAGATAGTGGTCAATTAAGTGTTTGTAACCAAAATGGATTCGTGGGGTATTTTGAATGTGGACAGCGCGGCAGCGGCGATAACAAGAGATGACATGTCATCTAGTTTCCGACGGAAACAAGTGATGGTAAAATTTACCTCCATTAATTTTTAAATAACAAAAGCTAGACATATTGAATCAATAATCTAAACTATAGTAAAAAGAAACTTGTATTATATACTTTTTTAAATTAAGTAATTAAATAATGTAGAATAAAAAATAATATCTTAGGTACACGCACGCGTACTCGGCGCTGTATTGCTAATTTTAAATATCTATTTCAAAAACAAAACCTAACATTGTAATTTACATACAGCATACTAAGACTCAATATTACAAACAATTATTTTATAAAAGACATGCATATTACCTATCATAGTCATCAAGGATTCGGTGTATGTTATATATGGTTTAAGCTTAACAAATGATGATAAAATCAAAATTTCTGAAAAATAGTTTTGTAAATGCGTATGTTATTTTCCCACTTTTCTAATAAAACCTATGTTTGCAGAAATACGACAACACCCTAATAAGGGATTCAGGGAGACATTCAGTGATACCTCAATAACAGATTATTATCATGTTACATTATGGTCACGACGTTACAAGGGGTACGAAATTTGACGAAAAACACTAAAGTCGCCTTCTTTTAGCAAAACACCGTAGGCGCCAGTACATACTCTATTTTTTATTAAATTGACACTCCACGTTAATATATTGTGCCTATTACTCAGCGATTTTGGTGACAAAAATGTGTAAAAATAAATATATCTGATAAAATTAAATTATTATTTCATCCGTCTTACAAAAAGTATGGGTACTCACGACCAGAACCTTATCCAGGAACTTTAGAAATAAGAATGTTCTGTATTTGATAAAGAAGAGCAATTTTTGGTTATGACTCACGGATTCAGGAAATACCTCGCTGTGTGCCAAGTCATATTTGATCCACGAACATTCTAATGCACTGTAAATTATGATGTTACATATTTATTTAAAGTTTATTTAACACTAGCTTATGTATTCAATAAAAATGTTAAACCTATTTGAAATAAAGTAACAAAGCACTTCACAATTTTTGTGATTTTTAGACTTGTTAAATTGCTATTTGATAGGAAAATGTTTAAAAAAGCTTTACATATTTGAAACGATTAATTGTGGACAGTAAATTATTTAAGCTATGCTATGTTCTTTTTTAATTTCTAAAGCCAAGGAAACTTAAAATAAAAAAGTAATAGCAAAAGATTATTAAAAAATCTGTACAATATTAGTTTGATTTTTGTCTAAGATAAATATTTATTTTCCATTGTCAATGCAGAATTGATCAAATGTAATGTAGGTATTAAGAATATTGCTTATTGACACAAACAATACATACGCTAACTGAGGGGTAGCCTCAATACCTCTTCGCACACAGAAAACGACGCCCGAATGTTCTAAATAATTTACATTTCTTTTATAGTTTATTTCCAGAGGTTTAAACAGAAAGTGGACACTTGCTCCATGTGAGCATACATGCCCTAGCTTCACTAGCTTCTAGCTTTCTAGCTTCACTAGAGCATGTATACATACAAAAAATTACAAAATAGGGATTATTTATTTATTTAATATTTTGTTCAAAACAAGGGACAGAAGAGCAAGATAGACGGCGTAATTTTGAGTAATATCAAATAATCACATAATTTATACACTTTACAGGATGGTGCGAATCGAACTCAATGTCGTACGTAAACCGAACTACGCTTAGTGTGTATCAGTGTTATTAATAAACAAGATGTAGCTTTGGAGTAAATTTACGCTGAGACTGCACTTAGTATTAGTCAAAATTCATATTATTAAACAATTAGCAAAGGTTAACCTAGTACGAGGTTCTACGGGAGTAATATTTACTCCTAGAAGGTGGTAGGTTTGCTTATTCTCCGTATATTATGAACTTGGACTAATACTAATATTGCTAATACTTAATTTACTCTGACACTAAACCTTGTTAATTAATAGCACTGTATATGTGTTGCAGCACTTGCTAATTTTGAAAATGAACAAAAGTTTAAATTTTTTATCTTGCCGTCCCTTGCCCTTGCTTTTTCCATCTTAATTAAAATACGAAAGGAATACTCTTATTTAAAGCTTTTCAAATTAACTTTGAACTTCTAAGCATAATCATATTTAGTTTATCTTAAAAATTATATTTCAATGAGATGTGTTGAGTTGAGATGTAGCAGTGATAATAGTAAGAACCAAGCCTTAAAATGTAGAGTAATAATACAATTGTATATAAAGCGGAAAAATAAACAATAGTGTAAAAAGGACATACAAAAAGCTGAATAATTAGAATTAAAAGTATGTCTGGTGATAAGCACTCCACTTATTCTGGAATGAAATCGGCTACGAACACAGCACAGAGGTACAATGAATTTAAACATCTGTTACCTTTTGAAATAGGTTTCATCATATTATTTTATTTAATTGAAGATGACTTCGAAGCTGATTTAATTATAGAATAGCACTGCTGGTATCATATGTTTTAATCTGAATAAAAAAACAACATAAAGATAATTTTTTATCTTACTAAACTTACGTTTGAATTTCCCGCAAAATCAAAAGAAATAATATAATCATGTAGGTAATAAATTTTCTGATTCTTTAAAATAATTTATATAATCAAATGCAATAAATGTGTTCCGTAAAAATATGAATACAAATAACACAATTTAATCCTTTTAAATAAATAGTCAATGTTTGCTGTTATTCATGTGTGGACTAGCCTCGAGCGCTCCCAGATGATTCCAAAATTAACCACAGCGTTCTATATCACCCGTACGTTGCACACTTTCCACGCGTTTGAAGTAAACTCATAACGATAGTGAGTTTAAGTAAAAAAATATTGTATAACATTTGTGTTTATAACTTGTGAAAAAATAATACAAACCAATGGATATACCGACTGATGTGTGGGGTCAACTTGCTCTGGAAGCTAGTCAAGTCTATTTGACTGAAGGAGGTCAAGTGAGAAGTCCATTCGCTAACACGGTAATGTGATAAACAATTACATATAGGTAAATCGTCAATCATAAAGGTATAAATAGTAATAAAACTAAAACATAGCATTGAAAACTGCCATATGTGATACGTAAGCCAAAAATCAAATAATTGCAGGCGATCGGTATTGAGCATCAGCTGATTAATCGGAATGTATCACTACCACTTAAAATAAATTTAGTATTAATTAAAAATGGTTAAAATCCCCTTTGTCCCATCTCAGAGTAACAGAAACAAAGAATAAAACGAATATTTTAATAAAATAAGTAATATAATAATAAACTAAGTTTTTTTTACTAACTTAGCTTTTCGTGAACATCACATCGCAAAGGTAGAAATAGGCTAATTATTAAATTAAAACTACTTATCTACCAGAATGTCTACCAGATCATTGCCAACAGGTAAGGTACCCAGAAAGCTGCGAGCGTTTCCTCTTTGAATAGCCAAACTAATTCTTTGGGCGAAATTATTCATAAATATGTTTTTATTTTTATTTTTTCAGTTTATATTAAGAAATTTATTAAGAAAATATAAAACTAGATTATTCTCATTTGATACAAAAATTATACACGACTAAATAATCAACAAAATCTACAATGGTTTTCTTTTCAGACAATTGAAAAGTTACCTGACAAAGTATTATTGAATATATTTTCATATTTGAGTCACCGTGAAATATGCCGAATGGCGACAGTATGCAAACGATGGAGAATGGTTGCATATGACACTCGTCTGTGGACTCATGTCAGCTTACGGCCCGAAATATCTGGATTACACGTTGGTAAATATAAATAAAAAATTATTTTGGAAGTCGAAAACGATAAGTTGGTAACACTAGGAATAAGTTTATTGTTTTACCATTAAGTCTTATTTCCGCATCCGTCTTCTGCGTTTTTAGCAGTTAGGCACATTTAGACAAATGCTTTTTAATGAGTAAGCTTTAGCCCAGTTTAATCAACTTCAATGAAGTTATATCTACCAAGCATCTCTGCTATAAGTAAAAATTATGTGTATTATTGAGTCAAACTAAATATAAATAGACTTTATAGACTATAAACGGTGCATATTAAAAGCACTGCACCATCTGTTACTTTAATTTTACTACTAGAATTTCTGCCTTGTACCGTCAATAGCACGTTAAGTTATACAAAACTGTAAAATTTCCTTACTAGATTTTAAACTTTAATATATTGAGGGTGAGATGTTAAAATACACTGCGGGATTTCGACATATTGTGGTTTTGATTTAAACAATAACCTGACCTGAAGCCATGTGTACAGTCAACAGTATATCGAGTTATACAAATCTATCAATCTTTAGCATTTGATATAGACCTAATGTTTGAAAATTGAGTGCGGATATTGTCGTTTCATAATGTAATTTCATCATCAGCCCTTCTACGTTCCAATGCAGGGGCTCAGGCCTTCCTTATGGATGGTTAAAGAGGATGGGCAATGACCCTCCACGCTGGCCCAGGTACATATATATATTCTTTATCCGTCATTTCAGGTTCACTGGAGTCACTGCTCGCGTTAATTTCAATAAGGTTCGGCCCATCCTTGCGGTATATAGAGTTACCTATAGAGTTGATTACCCACAACGTGCTCCATGAGTTAGCCGCTAAGTGCCCTAACTTGACTCACATGCTTCTTGACTTCAGTACCGGTAAGAAATAAAACGTGGTCGCATAAAAATACACAACACCGTATCGCAATGCCATCGTCCCTGCGACGTCGCTCGTCGCGTCGTTTAAGATGGCGCGTATAACTCACTAACTTCCAACGAGTTTTGTACCTTCAAAGAAATATTCCAAATAAGCTGATAAATGAGAAAATTAATTTGTATTTTTTATGTCGATACAGTCAACGTTACGTCATACTTTACTGTCAAATTTCTCCAATTGATTTTAAAGTTAATGCATTGAATGTGGGCACTACGCGGATAGGGCCTATCCGCGTAGTGCCTATCCCATCCGATAGGCTAAGCTTAGTCATTTCAATAGGATGTTACCTTCAAAGCGGCGGGATTTGATAGACTTATTTTATGCTTGCAAGTTGTTCAGAAATATTATAGACTGTTCTCAGTTGCTCCTTCCGTAAAACTGTTCTAGGCTAGGAATAAACTCTCTTGTACTTAGGTTGAGCACTCTTAAATAGTAACTGATAAAGTCGACATTAATTACGACTCTTTAAATAAATTTAAAAGACGTAACAAATGAAACAGCACAGAAGCAAAAGAGGCAATTAAAACAATTCTATTAATATTGATCAAATAATACAATTTTGTTTTATTAATCGTATTGTTAATTAATAGGATTATCATACCAGAAATTCACATTAAGCAAGCTGTGTCCACATATAATTGGTTTGCATAATTGGTTATTTTACTGTTTACAATTACTATTATTGTAGCTACCGTTGGTAGATCAAGCAAATTAATGAAATGTAGACTTTGAAATTAACTGGAGATTTGACATAATGTGGTAACTTGTCGTGCAGTCGTGTGTTGTGTACATACCAAGAGCTAATAGTGTATCTACTTAATGACAGTTACATGTTTCATTTTTCCAGCTTTAAAGTAATTATTACGATTTCTTTACCAGTACCCTTTGATATATGTATAATAAAAGTCAGTACCTACCTAAGTAATGATTAAAATGAGGACTTTAACAAAGTCCAGGCAAACTAGAATAGATAAATGTTATTAATGAAAAATGATAAAAAAAATAGTATTATTATATCACTCTGAGATGGGTCTCGAACCCATGACCTTTCGCAATCCGAGCTACTGTTCTAATTGAGCTCAGTATAGCACTGTGAATGTAAAATTGATCAAAGATAATAATTAGAACATCTGTTCTAATTATAGCTTAAATAGCTTAAATATAGCTTAAATAATAGGGGTTAAAGTATGAAATTACCGATTTGTACTGAAAATTAAAATTGTTTATTTTGAACAAATTTATGTAATCAAAATAGTTACCATTATTATCTATAAATTGCTGCAATCTAATAGGAAGGTCATTTAATCCTTTGCGATAGAACTCTGAGGATCTAGACTGCAGAAATCATGAAAAAAACGGTAGTCCATTGGAGCAAGGTCTGGCGAATATGGAGGATGACGAATGGTTTCTAACTGCAGTTCCTGAAGGTAAACAATATTGTTGGTAAGGTAACGTTAAACTATGCCGCTAATTCCTGGGTAGTTTGACTAGGATCGGCTTTCACCATCTCTCTTCTCTCTTAATTCATCGTTATTCACCTGTGTGGGTGGTCCTTCTCGTGGCTCGTTTGTCAAGTCGAAATTTCCATCACGAAAGTGTGAAAACCAAATTCGCACGGTGCATTCATTAGCAAACCCCTCACCAAACATTGATATTGCGGGCTGTTTCTGCCGCGTTACTTCCGTGTCGGAACTCGTATTCAAAAATCAGTCGAATTTTCGCAGTATCCATCTTTCTTGTCTAAGTTGAATAACATAAACAATTGAAAGTCAATATTCAATGTTTCACATTTTTCAAAAGAAAAACATCATAGCAAGATCCTTTCGAAAACCTCAAACCATGAAGATTCTAAGTCTATTCAAGGAATCTATAACAATAAAACCGCAATTTCATACTTTAACCCTTAATATTTTTAAAAATAATTCTTTCGGCTGTTTGGGTGGATTGTCTGAACATTGATGAAAAGCGAACTCTGTAGTAGCGAAAAAGTAACAAGTGCCTGAAAAATTCGTCGGTCCTTTTAGGTCTGGATAGCTCAGTGGTTAGCAGTCGCCCGGATTGCGCAAGGTTCAAGTCCCATCTCAGAGTGCCAGGAAAAAAATGTTTATTTTTTGCATTTATCATATCGAACATTTTTCTGTATAGCATTGTGAATGCAAAATTGGTTAAATATAACAACTAGAATAGAATCTTTCAAAAGTCACCCATACCTTTCCCTTCTAGCCATGCAGTTGCACGATTTCTCGGAGATGCAAGCGTTCCCCACGAAATTGAAGTACTTGTGCATCTGCCTATCTGAAGTCATCTTCATGGAGGGTTTCATGCGGAAGATATACAACTTCATCAACGGCTTGGAGATCTTACATCTTATCGGTGAGATAACTTTATTGTTACGTTACACGACAAGAAGAATTAGGTGTAAGCGTGGAGTCGCGATTGAGGATGTTAAGTAATTTTTGCAAGGGCCGGTCATCAGATGACCGTTCATTTACTGGTTATCTCGAGCTCCTGAGTGCTTCGGAGAATAAATGAAATAGTAAGGTATCTGTCACATAGTTATAATATTAGTCCGCACTGAATAATTTTGTGCTTCTTTCTATTCAGAATGGGCTATGCATGACCCACGATGCGGGTCCAGTAAGGATCGGTGGATGTTAACGACTGTAGATGCAGTCGGTACCAACATCTTAACGTGCTTTCTGAAGCAAGGAGGAGCTCGAGTCAATAAATTTTGGCCACCCCTTATTAACTTATGACTGGCCCTGTGAAAGACAATGTAAAAGTTGTTTAGCTTACTCATCGCAGACCGTAAGCGCTAAATAACGTACACGTTTATTTATTTCACATAGGTACTCGTATGAATTAACGAAAAAGAATCGGAAAGTTTCGTATGATTCTTATAATTTGGTTAAAATAATTTATTTGAAGAATATCTGTGTATAAGAGACTAGCGCTAAGTACTAAACAATAAACCATCGAAAAATGAGTTTCTTTGGAGTCGTATTAGCATTTTGAAAGTTTAGTTTACAGAGAAATAGAATAGGCCTTCAGGCGTCATGTTAATTCGTACGAGTAGTATATCGAATAGGGCAAATGACGGTTGTGGCTATTTGAGATGATTACCTGAATTTGACCATTTTAAGAGTTACAAAAGTAAATTCTGAAACATCACATCTGTCAACTGTACTACAGCACAACAGAATCTTCTGCCCGACAAAAAAAAGTAGGCATCGGCTTGGTCATTCATGAATCTCCCCGCAGGTACCTACGAGAAGATAGAAGAAGAAGAAGAGGAAATCTACGAGGTGATCAATGTACACAAACTGAAATCTGCGACACCCAACCTGCGTGTCATCAATCTTTACGGCATCAATTTCGTAGACGATTCGCACATCGACGCGTTCAGTTCAAACTGTATTCAGGTATTATTGAGTTCGACACTTAGGGTGTTTTAAAAGATCTAGGAACTTTAGTAGTTGCATGTGATTCCCACGCCATCTATGAGAATCGCCGTATTAAGTCGAGATGAACGTTTTTTGAAATTTTAATTAAAATGCCTATACAAAACTAAGAGCAATTTTTCTTTTGCCACGTTGATGAACATTTGAGAGAACGTGTAGTCATCGATCGAGCTATACACAAGTAATCTTGTTTGAACCGTTATTTTTTGTATTGTATACATTTTTTTTTGTGAAAATGGAACCGACTTCAAACTTTAAAAATGATTAATAATAATATATTCATTATTAATAATAAATTATCTTAAAAGTGATTTAATTATTGAAACTGGCGGTTAATTTTGGTTTGTTTTAAAAACAAAACCACCAATTAATTTTATTTCGATAAAATTACTGTATTAAAAAAATTAGTATACTCGTAACAAACACTGCCGAACTGAGAAACTCCTTCTTTTTCGAATTCGGTTAAAAATCTGTTAAATATATCGAAGTGGTGTTATGTTTGCAGTTGGAGTGCCTTGCAGTGAATTATTGTAATAAAGTCACTGGTTCCACCATGAAGACATTATTCCAACGATCGAGGCGTCTGACCTGCCTTCTTATGAATGGCTGCAGTGAGTATTCTTATTGTATTATTACTATGTATTTTTTTGTTTATATAACCCCTAGTGTTTTTCATCGTTATCTCACTCAGCCGTACAATATATATTTATACTTTGGTACAATGCCCACTGCGGAGTTAATACTCTTACAGTTATATATACATACTTAGTATTTTTACAAGGTTTTACTTTTAATAGTAAACATTTATTGTAAGCGACGTTTTTATCTTGTATAACAGTTATTCTTAAGCATAATAATTAATCAACGCTCTTGTTTCTATAAAGGAGGTTTTATTTGATACCTATTTTTAAATGATGAACGAAGTTTCTTTACGAAAACTAAATTCTATTGAGGCAATTCAGATCGATTTTAGATTTAAATTTTGAGTAGGCAGATATATTAGGTTAGATATTGTAATCTTTGGGTTAGGTACAACTTGAGCCAATTAAGTAACAGACTATAAATCATTATCGTGAACCCCTTAAAATCAATTATGGAATCCCTAGGCGACGGCGTATTTATTCTATTTTGAAAATGTCATAGTTATTAGGTTTCTTAAAATTTAATGTAATAAATGGCAATATACAAATACACTTAGCAAATGTATTCAGACTACTTTTACGATCATACAAATACTAACGTATAACAATATTGCCGTTATAGGTCTGCACTCAGATTATGTGATGCAAGTGGAATGGGAGAAGTCCTCCATTCAGGAATTGGACGTTACAGCGACTGATTTGTCTACGGAGTGCCTGATCGATATGTTGTCAAGGATCCCAAACTTGCGATTCCTCAGTGCAGGCCAGATAAATGGGTTCAACGATTCCGTGCTGAAGGCTTGGTTGGAAGCAGGCACTGCTAGGTAAGGGATAATCTATTGTTACTAATAAATGCCAAAATATTTCAATTTGTTTTTATCGCCGCACTGCTGCGATGAAGACAGTTTAAAAATACAGACTAGGTAGGTATGAATGTTGTTGTTTTAAAAGTATTATACTTTGTATAAGTATTTCACAAAATCAAAACTGAAAATACTATATCTATTTGCATTGAGAAACGCGTTATAAAATCTTTATGCCTCAACAAAGTCTGTAAGCTAAAGCAAGGACTATAGCTATATCAGGGGATTTTTTTAACACAAGATAATCATCCATCATCGAAAAGTTTATTTTCTTCATTGACCAGAGCTATAATTCCATGCATTGCGATCCTTAAAAAAAATCATCAACTTAATAATAGCCTTTACTCATAAGTATGTTCTTTACATGAATTTTAAATTTATTTATGGGTAGGTCAATTACATTTTGTGGAACTTTATTGAACATAGCAATCCATTTACCTAGAAATGGTCCTCTGGTTTTCTGAAGTCTGAAGTTTGGCACGGCAAGTTTATTTTTATTTCTTGTGTTAAGATTATGATGACAACTTTTTTTTATTTGTGACGGAATCGTATTTTTTTTTGCGTTCATAATATTTCCATAGATGTATTGAGAGGCAACAGTCAAAATATTTATTTCTTTCAATATGTCTCCGAGAGATTCTCTAGACCGTAAATTATATATAGCGCGGACAGCTCTCTTTTGTAGAATAAAAATATCTTGAATGCTAGCCGCAGAACACCACAACAATAGATCATACGTCATTCATTACACTATAAAAATAACTACAATATACCAATCTTGCCGTTTCAATATTTGTTAAGAGTCTAATTTTCTTAACAGCAAATGCTGCAGAACTCAGTCTACTTGACAAGTTATCAATATGAGGATCCCATTGCAGTCGAGAATCTATTGTAATACCAAGGAACTTTGTCGATTCCACCAACTCAACTTTTTCACTATTTACAAGTGTACTAACATGCCTCATTAGGAAATGCAAACTTTATGCATAGAATAATTATTGTTGTTTCTCAGGAATCTGATGGCTCTCGATGTGGATTCGTCAGATAATCTATCAGACGAGGCGTTACATCGATTCATTTCTCGTCTTGGCGCTCCTTTAGCCGGACTTGCCCTTAGCGGTATGCCACACATCACCGACCAACTGTGGCAAAGTCTCATGCCACTACTGCACAGCACCAAGTAAGTGTTTATATCATACTAGGAGTACCTATTCCTAGTATTATATAATACTTGATCTACCTAGTATTTTTTATTTATTAGCATTGCCTAACTATAAAAACTTTACTCCGTTGTGTTGAAGTCGAATATTGAAATATGGAGAAAAATACTACAAATAATGCACTTACATCTAAATATGGTTCCTAATGTCTTAGTATAGGGCCAAAAATCTCAAGTAGGGCCGAAAGGATCAAGTATTTAGCCTAGTATTGTGATATACTTAGTATGTGGATATGTTCTAGTAGATATGCTTAATCTCACCTAGTATTAGTAGTATCATGTAATATGTGGTAAAATTAGATTCGTAGATTTCCATTAGTGACTAACTAGTCAATCTATTATAAACATACATTTTGATTTCATGCACCTAACAATTATGAAATCTGTCACATTTATAAATAAAGTCGAAAACTGTGGAATGGAGAAAAACAATAGGAGAACATGACAAGTGTCAAAAAATCGTGCAACTTATAGCAATACCAGGTGGATAAAGTATTTAGAAAATTATAACAGGTGGGGCCTAGAATTGTAGAATACCTAGTAGATAGATCTATTCTATAAAATATTCCTCAACTCTATAAGTGTTGAAAAGGATAGTGTTTCTCAATCTGTATACACAGGCATCGCATATAATAGATAAATTAGGAGGAAGGAACAGAAAAAAATCAAACCAATTTCACTATAAGGGGGTGGCGTGTATTTCTATTTCATAATACGGATTTTTTACATAGTTACGTTTACAAGTCAGTTTAAATTTTTAATAAAAAAGAAAGGGTAAATGTAATCGTAAGTTTAATTTCAGGTTCACAATAAAATTTCTGATCAACAGCATGAATTTTTTAGGGCACTATTTTGAGGTGGTTGGAATAGTTGTAGTTTCCTTTGATTCTATTTTAAATAAACAATAGAATTTAGAAGTTCTTTTTTAAATTAACTAAAAATTTCAACTTTACTTCTAAAATGGTATTGTTTAGCTTTTCGTTTAAATAGCTAGAGTGATATTAATGTAAGATTTTATTTTTGTAAGTTAATAACGTTTATTGATTGAAAGAAAATTGAAGGGACGTACTTATTTTCCGCATCAAGGACGGATGTCTCTTGGAAGGGTATCAATTTAAGTTAAAATATGCTGGATCATCGTCATCAGCCTATTGATGTCCCTATATATGGATAAAAAACAAAGAACGAGTTACCACGAGGAACTAATGAATTTTGGCGGGTGTTAACGACTGCAGATGCAGCCGGGAACATTGTTTTAGCGTGCCCTTTGAAGCTCGGAGGATCTCAACATAATTAATTTTTGTATGTACAATAGATACTGAGGTTTGGAGTCAGGAGAGTCCTAAGTTCCTCATCCTAACTAACTACTTGAATATCGGTAAACGATAATTTACTTTTTCAGGATTCTCATAATGGGGACTCAAGAAAGATTAGGAATAAACATTCACGTTGACCAGGTACATACTTTTCAAAGTTAAAATCCTTGAATGCGATTGTTTGTTTGACTCAGAAGTTTGATCATATTACAACATGCTCGCTTGGTGAACCGCCTACGCATCCAAATAACAATGGTTGTTATCTGTCGGAAAATAACTATGTAAGGTCTCACCTTGGGATAATTGAAAGTTTCGATTCTTACGATTCGAATTTGGATCTCAGGCGTTGTCTCTGGAAACGGAGAAACTGGACTTTAATTCATATAATGAACCTTTACTGGACTACTTCATTTCGTCCATTTTCTTTTATTATGAATACTGTATATTGATTTGTCAATGAGCATGTATGACTCGGCAACCAGCATTTTTATTAAAAATATCTATTAAGTTATTTCTAGTCTTATAATAATATCAGAAATAACAAAACAGATGACTTCTCTATGTGAAATAAAACAGGGAGAAAAAAGCAGCCCTTGCTGAGTTTATTGCCAGTTCTTCTCAGTACAAGGTCTCCCGCCGAAGTTTTTCATTTAGACTTTCACAATTAGACCAGCCGTAGCCGTAGACTTTCATGACTACAAGTGCTTCTTACTGAATAAATTTCGGCGGTAGGCGGGAAACACGAAAAGTTCGTTCTCTTATAAAAATCGTAAAAAAAAATACTTACAATTGCTAAATTTCATAATTTATTCAATTTTATAGTTATATTTTAAGCACAAATCACTATCTTACGTTATCTAATCATATAGTACATGATTACTTAATTGTGCTTTAATATTCTGTCTTGTCGGTTATTTACTTCACTTCCACTGGTTTATTTCTCAAATGGCGAACATAACAGCAGTTTTAGAGACACAACATGCACTAGAGACCAGACTGTTCAACAAAATGAATGAACTGGAGGAACGGTGGAAGGCAACTCCTGCACAGGCCGATAGTTCACTTACTCGTCTGCAAGAGGAATTTCTGGGGTTCAAAATTGAAATGCTTTCTGTCCTTCAACTTCTTCGTAGTCAAGTCTCAGAGCTCTGCAGATCCGTTGATGATTTAGAAATGCGACATCGAAGAAAGTATCTGCTAGTAAGCGGCATTCCTGAAGACACCAATAGTGATCTTCCTAAATCCATTGTCAGTGTATTTGTCAATAAAATGGGGCTGGCTTTGACACCAGAAATGCTCACTGTTTGCCATAGACTTGGCAGTGCGTCTGAAGGAAGATGTAGACCTGTGTTGGTGCGTTTCAAGGAGCTCTCCTTGAGGACTGCTGTCTGGCATAAGAAGACTGCGTTGAAAGGTACAGCACATACTATCTCTGAATTCCTTACTCGCCAGCGCCGGGACGTTTTCATTAATGCGCGTAAGCGATTTGGCATGAGAAGATGTTGGACCATGGACGGAAACGTCATAGTTAAATTAAAAAATGGTTCGAGACAGCGTATATACACCGCATGCGACCTCTCTTCACTCTCGGCCACTGAAGATGAGTTCCACCAAGCGACTGATCCTGGCCCAACAGCGCAGGCCTCAGCTTCTCCGGCTTCGCGAGGAAAACTTAGACGGACAGCCAGGGCGAAAAAGTAATTGTTTCTTCTCTTTATTATTTTGTTTGTTAGGGCTTATAATTGTTTATTAACATAAATGCAGTATTCATTTCAATATTTACACTACTCCGGTTAATAGAAATTTCTTTTTATCTTACTACCTACAACTAACACAAATTTATCTGTTGTAAGATTGTAAATATCAAATTATCTTGGCACAAATCACAAATAATTTCCCATTAAATTTTTAAACCTTCACGTCATTGTCAATTTTGTGTTGTTGTTATCTAATGTACTCTGTGGTTGTTATATATATATTTTTTTTATATTAGTTGAGTTTATTCGCCCTGGCTTCCAGCATATTGGCTTACGAAACGATTATTAATCGATTATTTCTTGTTTTGTTATCTGAGTTTTTCTCTCTCGTCAGCCGGCAGGACAGATATTATTAATTGATAACTAATTTGATCGTAGTTTATTTATATTTATATATTATATTTTGATTTAAATTTTATACATATAACTATTAACTATTATGTCAGATGATGATTCTTTTCATTCAGCTTTTAATGACAGTATTTCCTCTTGTGATAGCTTTATCTCACAATCTGAACCTGAGACTTTGGGTACTCAACTGCACAATATTTTTCAATGCTCTCCCCATTGCTTCAATGCTTGCCATATAAATGCTCAAAGTATACCCTCCCATTATACTGATTTTCTCGCTACATTTCACGAGCATAACATTCAAGCCATTTTAATTTCAGAAAGTTGGCTGAAACCCAGTCTTTCCTCTTCGTCTTTTTCATTACCAGGGTATACTTTGATCCGTAATGATCGCATTGGTAGGCGTGGTGGGGGTGTTGCTATATACTTGCGCAGCGATATAGTTTACAAAGTTTTGATCTCGTCACCTTCAACTTACTCTTTCTCTGCCGAGTATATCTTTCTCGAGGTCTCTGTTGGGGGTTCTAAGGCTGTTCTTGCAGTCGTTTATTGTCCACCTACTGTTGATTACTTTTCTAACCTTGAGTCAATTCTGGAGCCGCTGTGTTCGGATTACAGGCATCTCATAGTCATGGGTGACTTCAACACTGATCTTTCATGTTACACTTCTCAATCTGCTAAATTATTCGATGTGGTGAAGTCCGTCGATTTATCAGTTTTACCTTCTGAGCCGACTCACCATAATCCTTCTTCACGTGACACATGGCTTGACCTGATTATAACAATTCCCGACAATGTAGTTAACCATGGGCAGTTATCTGCACCTGGCTTTTCAAAACATGACCTTATTTTTCTTTCGTACAGGTTAAAACCACCTAAACTAAAGCCCACCACTGTCTGGATGCGTAATTTTGCTCGACTTGACCTTGACAACTTAAAAGAAGATGCTGCTAGTCTTGACTTTTCTTCCGTGTTTGATTCTCCGCTACTCGATGAGAAAGTATCTCTTTTTAACAAATATATATTGAACTTATATGATGTACATGCTCCACTAAAGGCGGTAAAACTGAAGCGGTCTCCAGCTCCATGGATCAGTAGAGGAGTCCGTATGGCTATGACACGGAGGGATAGAGCATTCCGCACTTTCAAGCACGATAGGTCGGAGGAGAATTGGAGTCTCTACAAGAGGGCACGTAATCGATGCAACCGAATGGTAAGAACAGCTAAACGTCAATATTTCAACGACAATATCATAAATTCTTCTCCAGCTAATATATGGAAGTTTCTTCGCTCCTTAGATTTGGGTAAATCTTCTTCGCAACCTCAGATTTACCCCTTTTCTCTTAATGATTTTAATAATCATTTTTCTTCTATTTCCACTATGGATTCTTTCACCAAATCTAACACTATCAATGAAATTACTTCCAAGGCCCAATCTCATTCTAATTCTTTTTCCTTTTCTCCAATGTCAACCGATGCTATACGGAAAATCATAGTCTCAATCAAGTCAAAGGCCATAGGATGTGATGATGTGAGCAGAGACATGATTATCAACATTTTAGATATTGTCCTTCATGTTATAACACATATTGTTAATTTCTCTTTCCAAGTTGCTCACTTTCCTCTACTTTGGCGTAAAGCTTATGTCATCCCTCTTCCTAAAACCTCATCACCAACACTGTTAAGTAACTTTAGGCCTATATCTATCCTTCCTTTCTTGTCCAAAATCTTAGAAGCCGCTGCTCATGAGCAATTATCTTCCTTTATACACTCTGTATCCATCCTCTCTCCTTTCCAATCTGGTTTTCGTGTTGGTCACAGCACTACAACTGCTCTATTGAAAGTTACCGAGGATGTCAGAACTGGCATGGAGAAACAACTGGTCACCATCATTGTTCTCATTGACTTCTCTAACGCGTTTAATATGGTCGACCATGACCTTCTACTGGCCGTACTGAAGTCCCTTAATCTTTCGTCCTTGACATTGGAATGGTTCTCAGCTTATCTTCGTGGGCGTCAGCAGGCAGTACGTAAGGATCGTGAATTGTCTTCCTGGAACGATCTGACAGCTGGTGTCCCACAGGGGGGAATTCTTTCTCCTCTACTTTTTTCCATATTCATTAATCATCTCTCTTTCACGCTCGGCTGCTCTTATCATTTCTACGCAGATGATTTGCAAATATATGTGCAAACAACGACCGATGAAATTATAACAGGTATTTCCAAATTGAATAAGGATCTCTCTCATGTCAGTGCATGGTCAACTAAGTTTGGTATTTCGGTGAACCCTACAAAATGCCAAGCAATTATTGTTGGAAGCTCCAAACAGCTTATTAAACTTGATTCTGGTCTGCTCCCACCTGTTGTGTACGTAAATTCTGTAATACCCTTCAGCTCTACAGTTAAAAACCTTGGACTTCATATTGATTCGGAGCTCAAATGGACATCACAGGTTGCCGAGGTCAGTCGTGTGGTTACTTATTCTTTGCGCTCGCTTAATCGCTTCAGACATTTTCTTCCTATCAAAACTAAGGTCACGCTCGTCACTTCCCTTATTCTTCCTATCATTGACTATGCTGATGTCTGTTACCCTGATTTAAATGAAGATCTTCTCAATAAGTTGGACCGCCTTGTCAACAATGCAATTCGTTTTATTTTCTGCCTTCGCAAGTATGATCATGTTTCGTCTTATCGGTCTCAACTAAAATGGCTTCCCATTCGTCAGCGCAGACAGCTACGACTACTCTGTATGCTCTTTTCCATACTTTCTAACCCTAATTCTCCAAATTACCTTAAATGTAAATTTCAATACCTTTGTGATTCTCATGACAGACAACTGCGTTCTGCTAATACACTTGCGTTATCTACTCCACTTTTCCATTCTGGCTTTATGGCCGACTCTTTCACCCTGCAAGCCATACGACTGTGGAATGGCCTCCCCGACACAATCAGACAATCTCCCGACAAATTCGTCTTTAAACGGAAAGCTCACACCTTTCTCCTGGAACGTTTATGAGGATCATCATCATATATGTATTATATTTATGTATTTGTATATGTACTTATGTTTATGTGTAGTATAATATTTATTTATGTTTATATAATTGTATATAAATTCTTCTAAAGTGTAGTTTAAGTAGTATATTTATAAGTTAACTTTATGCCGCCATCGTGTATTTCTGTATCCCAAAGGTTGACTGGTAGAGAATGCTAATAGCATTAAGTCCGCCTCTTGTACCAATTTAATGTACAATAAAGTTTGTTAAATAAATAAATAAATAAATAAATAAATAAATGATATTGAATTTGAATTTACAACCAAACAAGGTTTGTGTTACTGTATTGTTATAAATATAGCCTTACATTCTTTTGTACCTTGTCAGTTGATGGACGGAATAGCGAACAGTTGCCCTAATCTGGAGCGGTTAGAACTGCGATGGGACCCAGAGAATTTGCGCTTCAGTGACAAGAGTCAGAAGGCCATCGACATCTTACGTGTCAAGTGCCTCAAGCTTAAGTGTTTAGTGCTGAGGTGAGTCACTGGTATATAGTTGGAGAAACTTTATTGAGAGAAATTAAAAAAAATATATCCAAAAAACCTACTATACATATACATGAAATTCCTCTGTTGATCAATAATATATAAGTCGAGGTAATATTTTTCTCCAACAGCATATATATAAGTATTTTTCCGTTAGATTTTTGGAGTGGGCGTGAATAACCTGGTAAGGTTGTTAACTTAGTTTGTTTTATATATTTACTGAGGTCATTGAAAGATGAATGACATTGAACTTTCAATATTAAAGCAATGAAATAGACCATCACTATACAGGTTTTTTTTTAGTATACAAACACCAACCGTCTCAAACTGTTTGTTTATAACAGCATAATTTAAGTTGATGTTGACGAGGTCAGCTAGAACATTTTTTTCCGGCATTCAGATAGATTTCAATGACTAGCTAGGCTAGCTAAATATCTAAAAAATGGGAAATTTTCTCCTGCTATTACTAGTGTCGGGCAAAATTAGTTCCTCTATCATCACTTTCGATCCTATACCTGCCACCCTGCATTTTAAACTCACAAGGTCTTTGCACCGTAATATGAGCAAGTCAACTTGCTCATATTACGGTGTCCAAGGTTTAATATATAACATGTTTACCTCAAAATGAATCTAATCATGTCCATTTTCTGTTTAGTGACGGCCGATATTATGAGATTGTCAAAGCCAACTTTGAACGAGCGGACCGCACCACTGTCGTAAGAACGTCAACTAACTGCCGAGTTTCCAACTACTACTTATTATCGAATTACAAAGAACTTATATTCAACTAGCAGATATAGAGGGATTCTTTACTAAGTATGATATGTTTTATCGCAACACACAACATAATAATGCCAAATGTTTGGTATGGATGCTCAGTATTTGTACGCATGTATTTCTTGTACTGGACTTCGTAGCGCAGGACCGGACATACACTAAATAGAGCTCAAAAGTTGCTACTGGAGATTAATATTGCCATTGTTAAATCATGAGAGGTTTCATTTACCAATTCAACTTTAATACAACTGTCATTGGGTTTCGAATATTAAGCTCTTATCGTTCGATTTCTGTTGGAGCAACCTCGTAAGATATTGTGCCTGGAATTGATTTCGCTTGACGTATGATTTCGGTTAGACACGATTGCGATCAATTAATAAAAGGGCTCCCAACGTGAAAATCAACTTGCAAACTCGTATCTGGCGTCACGCAGTAGACCTGCAGGTTCTTAGATCACATACCAAAGAATTATTCTTAAACAAGTTTGATTACTTATTCACGTATTTCATTTTAATAAATAAGTAGTTCCATGTAGATTTATCATTTATTATTTGCGACATTATATATTAATGTAATTTTAGGCAACTCGCCACGATTTACGGGGGTACGAGTAGCTTTGTTTGAGAAGCTCTGTCTTAAGAATTAGTTAACATTTAAAGAGACTGCGAATTTTGTCTTATTATGTACTTTAATAAGATTTTTTTACCGTCAAGTAATAAATTAGCCCTAATGACCTTTTAAAATTGTTATTTTGTATTACACTTACAGCCGTTATTAGGGCCAAGATGATCACCTATTTATTTATCAAGTATATTGTTTTTTAATATGAGACGAACTATAACACTGTCATTGCAGAAGATGGTTTTAAGAAAAGTAAAAAATAGCTCCTCTATAAAACATTAAGGTAAAGTCCCTATTTTACTTACATAAATGCTAATAACTTCATAACTTAATCCAAATTAATTTGATGATTCGGCAAATTTTAAAACAATCAAAATTTTATAGAAACATGCTGTTAATTATATTATACGAATGCAGCATTCCTCAGTATTTTTATTGAGATATAATTAGAGTTAAAATTAAATTTCTTGACTTTCACACTAGTGCTTATGTAAATGTCATTAAGAAATTTATATTCTGAACCTTCTTATAAATTCACACAATACAGAACGTTTTTAATGTTACTAAAATTGTCAAAACGGCAATTCGTATAGAAAATAGTTATTAGATTTAATATTTTATAAGAATTAAATTTATTATTTAATAAAACATTTAAAGCATATTTTATCGTATTATTTATGTATCATTATATTAGTCATGTCTGGTCGTCGTTCCTTTCTCATTTAATAATTCTGAGAAAGCCCAATTTATCTTTCGCTATAAATAAATATATGTTTAATGAAAAATATGTTTGCCATTTCTACTAAAATAATAGTTTATTTACAGTTTATAAGGAGGAAAATTACTATTTTTATTTATAATTTTAATCCTTTAAGTTACATTCAAAATATTAAAAAGCTATTTCTAAACATCTTAACTATTTACAAATAGCTTTATTTTCGTCATCTAAACCTTTTTTAAACGTCATCACATTTATTATATTGATATAATTTTTGTCTAAAATAGTTGCACTGTTAAATTTCAACATATTCAAAAAACGAGTCGTCCAACAATCAAAATGTCTTAAACAAGAGCCTGTCCACGATTCAGACAACCATTACGACACACTCAAAGTGACAGCCACACGCACAATTTCAACCGTCCACCTTAATCACAGCTATATCTGATTTATATATATCATATAAAAAAAAAACAATAACTTACTATACAAATGAATGAAAACCACTCAATTAAGTCGACCACTAAACTTGACACTGATTTTTAATCTAAGTGGTATATGTCTTCGTCGAGCAGTCATCTGACCCCCTCACCGAGCAAGAGATCGGGTTCTTCCTCTAAAAGAAGGTTTTGGTTGTTACTGTTCTCCTCATTACCAGCTTCGGAGTTGTTATCCTTGTTTATGTCATTATCTATCTTGTACAGTATGTCGTGACACAGCGGACACCTGTCTTGGACGTAAAGCCATTTCCGCAAACAGACACCGTGAAAGTAATGGTTGCATCGTGTGATCTTTGCCGAATGCATCTCCTGATAACATATGGCACACACGTCGTCTAACTGGTTCAACTGATCGAGAGAGGCCTCCCGCAGAGAGTTGATTTTATTGACGGCAGTACGTCGCTTCATAAACACCGACCATCCGGCCCTCGCTTCGCACCAGATGTTGAAGTAAGCGTGTATACACATCATTACGGCTCGAATCGCTCCCCCAGACTCGAACAACAAAATCCACGCTCCATTAAAGAATAGGAAAATGCCAAAACAAAATTCTATTGTATTACCGAAAGCTCTTATGTAATATACATAATCGTCCAATTGCTCCCAAAATGTGCTCCTATATGCGTCGATTAGAAACAGGGAGTAGATCATTAAGCTCACGATCACTTTCACTATTACTTCTATACTGAAAGCGCTGACCGCTAGTAACCACGTCGATATCGAATGCTGCGACCACAGATATACGAGAAGCGACATCGGGAATATTATAAGAAAAGCGCAAACGCCGAGTGCTCTCACGTGCCGATGTGTGCTGGGGTTGTGCGAAGCGCTAAGCGACATCAGCATGGGATTCACAATATTGTGTAAGAAGTGTAACAGTGCAGTAAATAGCAAACAAAAGTTTCTACATAATCGGACGAATCTCTTTTCTGGATTTAATGAAGTTAGGCCGGTTTGCAATGCGAGTATGTAAAACAAAATGGCGGACACAGCGCCTATACTTTTGTCTTCTTCTTCGTCTGTCAATAAAATCCATTGGAAAAAATTGCCGATGTAATGACAGAAGAATGAGATCACAGAAGTCATGCCCAGTACGGCTGTTATCGTCTCACATCCTGTCACTAGGAGAGATTTGGCCATAGAAGCTAGAGACTGGACGGCTAGTAGTGTGGATACTTTTAATCCATCTTCGGAGTCATCGTCGTAATTGTCCATAAGAAGTAGTATCGCATGTTCTGCAACCCTCATAACCCAAAAAACTCTCAAGACACACGGTATGTTAAGTCTCATCCACTCGGTTTCAACTAGAGCTGATAATCCATAGTTGCTAACAAAGAGGCGTCCGTGTTGGTAACCGGCGTAGATAACTTGTATAACATTGTAGGCCGATGACCAAAGGACGTAATTGACGAGGCATAGTGGTAGTAATGTGGAGAAAACCGGTGAATGATGCAGTAAATTTGGCGGTATAGGCAGCATGGCTAGGAAGGACGGTGCCATGAAGCTGATGGGTAACAGTTTTTGTATGGTCGAATGTCGAGGTCCCAAGTGTACATTTCTGAAGAGTATGGCTAGGATAAACTGTATGGCAAAGTTCTGCATGACTAGCAAGCCAGGGCCATCGAGATCAAGAAGGTTTTTCATATTTAAATTGAGTATGTCTTCTAACACGCTGGCAATAGGTTGATTAGTCGCCAGCTGAGTCAAGTGGATCTGCTTAACTGCCGACACATTGGTCCAGTAGGAAACGAATACGATGCCCACCGACATCAGGTACAGGTACACTATGATGAGGTGTTTCGTGTATAACACGAATATGCACAGCGCTGACATGCATCCTGAAACAGAAAGAAAATTTTCATTTAATATGGATGTAAAAATATAGGTATAATTTAGTTTTTTTTTCAAAAACGAAAATATTATACACGCTATTACATTAACAAGCAGTTTAGTCTTTTTATTTCAACGTTCTCATTCAATCAGTATGTTGCAATGCATTTGAAATTATATTATTACGGCATCGTCGCCTTTTTTTATAACCTCAAGTAATATGTCGGTGAGTCCACGTAATCAAAACATTGAAAAAATCGATCTGCGCACCATGCTTAGATATTACTAGCACTGTTTATATACCTAACAAGTCTTTGTTATCGTAAAATAATGGGGCAAATTGCATATCTTATATTTATAAAAATTAGTGTTTAAAAGAGCATAAAGCACAAATTAACTAAGAACTTTATTTAACAACTAGCAGTAACCCGCGGCTTCGCCCACGCGGTCCAAGGGTACTGTGCACAATGACCTGCTATACTGGAGTTTTAAATTACCTAATCACAATTAAAAATCTGCCAATAAGTATCCACCTTTATATCATCATAATAATAGCATTATCATTTTATAAGAGCATTGTGATATTATTATTGAACTGTAAAGTACGAGATTTCACGAAACCCCAAAGAAAAAAATTGCACGGCGTTGAATCGCACGACCTCGATGGCCAGTCGACATCAGAATTTCGTGGGATAATGTGTTCTGAAAACTTTCCTTATTTTTGTAACGAGTTTTCACAATTATAACGTGTCGGTATATTGAAAAGTGCTCCATTTTTAATAATCGGTATGAACATAGGTGAGGTTGCCACTTGCACGAAAAAACTGCACTCTAACTGAGACACCTGTATTATTGGCTACGCTGACGTATTTTATACAGATCTATCGGAGGAGCTTCTTACTCTTGAGCATCTGTAGAATGAATAGGGTATTCTAATCTGTTTATAATAATACTTGTAACTGTTTATTTTTATATGAAAAAGACATTTTTTTTTTCTAAAATATAAGCACGTTAAATGCTATATTAAAATTTAAACTTTTCTTATACCCGTGAAAGCGCTGTCCTTCATATTCATGACGTCATTGTGATATGTACACAAAACAGATGCATAGAGTAAAAGATTAAAAGATGTCAATAAAACAAGAAGAATGCCATCTTACGATCGATTACAAAATAAAAAGATATAAAAAAGCTAAGAACAGCGTCATTAAGGCATTTGATTAATAATATTAATAGGCTTATCTTTATGACTAATCTGACAGCACTCGCCACAGTGACGTCGCACAATGGCTGTCGTGTTTCAAGTCACGTGTTATCTTAAAATTAAAGTCATGTTTTGACTTTAATTTTAAGATAAGATAATCATGCGATTTTAAGAGTCAAAAACTCTATGTTTATATAATGTTAATTTTAGTTTTTGTAGAATTTTGTGATTTATTTTTCACTACTGAAACTACCCTATTGGATTCGTCTTCAATCTCCGTAAATATGACTACGTATCATATTTCCGTTCTAAGTTATACAGGCTCCCTATTTGCCGGCGCAGGGACTAGCATCTCATTACGGCTCTCTATTCTATCCTTTTCCTTTCCTTTTCTCCACGTTTTATTAAGGAATGTTTCTTTTTCCGCTCTTCCTCCTCCCTTTGTTCTTTGCGGTCATCAAGCAATTAGTGATGAGCCCCTCACTCGCGAGGTGCCTCGTTTGAGTTCCTCATTTCGACAAAATGAGGGAGTACACGTTTTCCAATTTTGAACCACCTCATTAAGCTCCTCACTTTTTGAGTGAGGAGCTAAATAGCGAGTTGTTGCGAATGAAAAGGCGACTCGATACTTACTCAAGATATTCAAGATTGAGGGAATGGGTTAAGTGTTATGAGTTTTTTGGAACGCTCCAGGTTTGTTTATGTGTTTCTTCGGAAATACGTATTTAATATTTTATAGATTAATTATATTAATTAGTCTAAGTAAAAATCAAAGTTAATAAAAATGTATCGGTTTTATTTAGAAATATATTTATATGATTCGAAATATAAATGATTGATCGATTTTAAAAATGGAACATTTGACACTATTGCAAATAAGTTGCGTGTTGTGGTCATTCTGTTAAATAATAATCTAAAAAAGTTTATTTCTTAGAATCTAAAGACAAAATATGTTTTGTTTAGCATTACCGACTCTCTCCCTCATTTTGTACCAAACTGCGACGTTGCGCGCGCCTCGCTACGTACTCATTCACTGCTACTGTAACATACCTATCCTCACCTCAAATAAGAGGTAACTCGCGAGCCCCTCACGAGGGAAAATGAGGTACTCACTCATCCTCATTAAAAAAGAGTGAGTAACACAACGCTACAAGTAATCTTACTCTCGAGATTGCTCGTCACTTAACAAACTTCGTTTCCTGTTCCTTCATTTTATGTAGGATGTATCCGCCACCACCATTTATTTATCTATCCTTCCCAACATTGCACCCACTTATCACAGTATCCTTATAGTTAAATTTATTCATTTTTCCGCTTTTTGTTTACTCCAATTTTATTATTGTAAACTATACTAGTTTGAGTGGAATAAAGCGTTTATTATTGTTATTTACACTTATTCTATTTTTTATGAGATTAAACAGCAAATTAAATCAAGTATTTTTATATTATTAAAATAAAATTATCCGTCTGTTCTATTTTCAAATAAATAAAGTAAAATTCTAAAATAACGTGAATGTAACAATAATAAAACGGAAAAGTAAAGACTACAAACATAACAAAAATCGAAATCCCATTTTAAAAGCATCACAATACATCAGCGCAAGCAAGGAAAGCTTTAAAAAAGTAAAATATTCTCTCGTTTTTACAACATTTTTCATTGTTGCTCCACTCTTATAAATAAGTCATAGCGTGATGTTATTTAGCCTATAGCCTTTCTAACGAAAAAGACTATTCGAGAAAAAAAAAATTCAATTCGTTCCAGTAGTTCCTGAGATTATAGAGTTCAACTAAACAAAAACTTTTCGGCTTTATTATTAGTATAGATATAGATTTACTGAAGTCAGTATTAATTTATAATACCTCTTTTAATTTTAGCATTATACAAGTATTTGATGTAAATTTTTAATGATAATAAAAACAAAAGTTAAGGCAAAATATGTCGTTAAAAGATTGTAAGTTATTTTGATATAAAAACCAAACTGCTGATCCAATTTAAATAAATATTTTATGTAACTCTCAATAGTAATATAAACTTTCGAATAAAAAAGAAACATGAAAATTGGTCTTCAATTGCGAAGAAATCAGTGAGCAATAGCATAGTATAAAGACAGCTACATACAATCGAATAAAGAACCTCCTCCTTTTTAACCGACTTCATAATCAAAAAGGAGGAGGTTATAATGTACGACGGCGATGTATGTTTTTTATCTATGTTCACAGATATTTCCGCGAATTGTTGACCGTTTTACAAAATTATTTTTTTTATTATTAGAAAGCGTATGGCCCAAAGTGGTAAACATATATTGAATCGAAATCGAATTAATAGGTTAGTTTTTATAACAAAACCAAATTTTACATATTTAATTATCAAATATTCGAAGCCAGTTTTATATCAGCGATTTTTGGAAATCTTTTGTTTTTAGAAAAGATTGCGTATTTTGCTTTCATAAAAAACCCGGAAGGCAGATTTTTTATTTTCAAACAGATATATACATAAATTTTTATTTGACGCGTTTCGCAATTTGATCATGACTTTTCAGAAACACGTGTTCAAACGCTTTCCTGATGAAACTAAACGACCATTCTTTGTCCATAACTTTGTTTGCTCAGTTTTAATACATGAAAAGGGCTTTCCCTCTTTCTGTTGCGCCGCCAAATCATGCTATGTGCGATCAGCTAGACTAAAACTGTGTGATTTTTAGTCATCGTTGACTTTTGTTTCTCTAATCGTGCTCTTATCACCTGTCATTTGTATAGAACGAAGACACAAAATTACCAGTTAGTAGGCGAGAGGACAACTTCAAAAACAAAGTATTGAATTTTGTATCGCTCGCTTTGTAGTTCGCTGTTCGATCACATAAATTCAACGTAGCTTATATACTTTTGATTCAACTAAGGTTAAGGGAACACCGACCGCTAAGAAGGTGCTCACTGTCACAGTCAAAGTCAGAAAATTTCAACGGATTTTGCAAAAATATATAGTGTAAATATGAATAAACTTATTTGTGGGGGTAATCACACACAGCCAAAACGTTTATAACATTTTCTAGGCGTGAGGTTACCTCCTCAAATTCACTATTATTGCTGTTATTTTGTTGATAATCATAAAAACGAATTGCAGTTTTTTGTATTTAAATATGTCTCTGTTTGAATAACATCCAGAGTCTTCTTCTTCTTTTATTAATGGCTTATCTGCGCATTTCACACAACTCTGCCAATGTCAAGTGAATAAATTAGTTCTTTTTCTTCTTCTTTTATCAATGACTTTTCTGCGCATTTCGCATAATTCTGCCAATGTCAAGTGAATAAATAAATTTCTACATATAAAATGAAAATGAAATGAATGAAAGATGGCGATGATCTATTAGTTTCTACATGTAAAATGAAAATAAAATGAATGAAAGATGGCGATAAATCCTATTCAACATCCAGAGTCGGTTTTCATGGAAAATTCGTCAGCTTCAAGTGTCTCACTAGATATATGTGTTAGGTACGCGACGGATCATCCGTCGACTGTAAAATTTGGAATGTCATATCATATGAATAACAGTCATCTATACGTCTAAGATAGTTTAAAGAATCCAACGCGGGCACCTGAAACCTGGCAATTTATAAACATTTTTCTTTATAATATAATATCAATGTAACATTGTGAAGGTAAAACTGATTCAAATTAACATATTCATACAAAAAACACAATACATTGTGTGACTTATTAAATAAAAGAGTTGACAGGAATTCTAAATATACAAATATTTTTAAAGTTATTAAAGTAAATAGGTGAAAATTGAACTTTCTCCATCA